TACGTCGTCGCTATTGCTCGCAGGCTCGCAGCTCCGAGTACTCACTTCGCTCGCAAGCTCGCCTCGCTTGTCCGAAGACAGTGTAGAGTCCAAGAGGCAGTAAAAGCTGTGTAATTTGCTGGAGCCTACCCTAGGCCCTTGGAACTCAGAGGCTTAATAGTAAACACTCAGAGGCTTAATAGCAATCCGCAATGGCTTCCTTCACTATGTGTTCTGTTGCTATTGATCATCTGGGTAGTAGAAGAATGCAAGCGCAATGATCATGTACCAGCCAATACACCTGGGTTGGCGAACGTCAGTTATGGCGAACATGCACTTGATTCGTGTTGGATACTCACATTACGCCCTCAAGATAATTGCCTGAACCACCTCTGATCAAGAAGTTGACGACTAGAACGCTAACGAAGAAGACGACAGTCTCGAACAGCTGGAAATGCAGGTCGAACGATTTGCCCATGCCCCAAGAGATCAGGACGAGCAGCCTGGATCGCGGTCAGTCTGTGGTCGCTTTATATGTCTAGACTCCAACGAGCGCGGCTTACGGCGTGACGAAAAGCGCTATTTGCATTCCACTGCCCAAGGTGACAAGCATCGCGAGATTGGTCTTGTTCTTGTAGGATACAATGACTGCTGTAACGTGCTCAGCAGCATTGCTCACAATGGGCAGCAAGACTATGCCGATGAACGTGGTTGTCATGCCAGTCTCTTCTACAACACTTTCAATACTGTTGACCAGAAACTCGGCGCAGAAGCCTACGCATACGATTGAAGCAATCATGCAGGTGAATGCCCCGGTAGGTCCCAGAATCTCTCCGCCTTGATGGCTCTCCTTCTGTGCGGCACCGTGTGGGTCGCCTTCGAAATCGCTGCCGTCGCTGTCATCGTTGCCAGCGTCTTCTCGGAAGAGATCCTTGTGCGAGAACAGCTGGAAGTAAAGGTAGAAGAAATATAGCACGATCAGAATCATGGCCGCTCCCCTAGAGACTGCCAGAATGTCGATTGTATCGCCATCGGCGGATCGTTGCATTGTCCAGTATAGTATTGCGGGTACGATAAGCACGGCCGCAGCCAGAGTCTGTAGCGCTGACATGATAGAGGCCACAGTTGAATCGTACTTGGACTCCGAGCGGCGAATGCCGCCTGCGATGAAGCAGCATCCTAGGACCTGGTGCATGTCAGTGGCATGTAGATCGACGTGTATTGGCAACACAAACAAGCAGAATATTGACCAGCACGCTGCCCAGGATGCTGGCCTGTACCAGCCGAAACTGATCTTTTTGCAAGGCAATGACGCTCACTATCAGCTCCACAGCATTGCCAAATGTCGCATTGAGTAGACCTCCAATATGAGCTCCTACGGCCTCGGATAGCTCTTCCGTGGCGAATGATAGAAGTGCAGCAAGTGGCACGATGGCGAGGAAGTTGAGACAGAATATCGCGCCAGGAGGCAAGTCCAGAGCGCCTGCGATGATGCCCACTGGCACAAAGACGAGCAGTATGTTGATGTAGCTGCTCTTGAGTACAGCCAAGGTTGTCCTCAACACACTTCGTGGCGTTAGTCTGCTCCAGAAGCTGCCAGATTTGTTCGTGTGCTGCGCGTCTTGGTTCTGAGAATGGCTTGTCGCTCCATATTCGCCAGAGTCAGGTACACGGTAAAGTAGACTGTGCCTCTCGCCATTGCCTATGTGACGCGTATCCGGTTTCCGTCTGCTGAGCACGTTGAAGCGATGTCGTATCTGTGAGGCCGCTGTTTGGACGCAAGCTCAGCCAAACTTGTGTTGCATTGCGGCAACAGATCCGGACTTACACATATCTTCCAATTCTCAAGCTCTACAGTTTGTCAGTGGTATCAGGATCGCATTCTCATAGATGATACCATAAATGAAGTGGTTGGGCGTGATAGAGAGATGCTTGGCGATGACCGCGTCGCGCGTAGGCGAACCATCGCCTCGTGAGTTGCATGTGCGCCGCGTCATGATCCTTTGGTGCTTGAAGCAAAAGCAATTCGTATCAGATAACTATTTCCACGGCGACTTGACCTGCATTGAACAGGCGTACAAGTTGATCGAGTGCCCAGATGGTTGACAGACTGTGGGCGGGTCATCAAAACAGCTCGATACGACAGTGCCATCGTGCCGCAGCAGCATGACAGCCATTGGCTTCGCGATGTCCACATGCATCGAGGAAAGCACCTCCCGACGAAAGAAAAAGAGGCAGAATGCGGTGTTGGAAGTCGCGACAACCATATCTATCACTCTTGCCCCAGCAATTCGATCCGAACCGCTTCCGACATCTGGGGTGCTTGAAGGTGATGCCAATTACGCACGCGCGAGTTGATGACCTGCACCTCCCTTGCGCGAGGACAACAATGACGTTCAGCGCCCACCTGCCCCATTGGCTCAGCTTGAGACCATTGTGGCACTGGACGGACAGGTAGGCAACATCTCTCTACTCACATATGTTCTCATGGCTCTGCGAACTCTACGATCAGCGCAGTCATTGGCAGCTCGGCGCCCGTTTTCTCTCACAAGCAGATCGAATGCCTACAAAGATGACCAAGATAAAGACAGCTTGAAGCGGACGAGCCACGAATACAGCTTGACAGGATCAGATGAAGCTGCCGCCGAAAACGTCGAAACCTCATTCGGCAGCAAACACAACACGCCAGAGGAGGCTCTGGACAACGCGGAAAGCGAGAGCAAGCGAGTGCGTTGCTGAAACATGACCACGGCTGTCACCCGGCTGACGGCTCTCTCAGATCGGCCAATCTACCAATCCGCTGAACGTTTCGCCGGCCAATGTCGAAGTCAGCAAAGCCGCGGCGCATCGCCCAGAGCATGAGAGCATTGAACAAGGGCTTTCGAGGGAAACCAGCAAAGGGGGTAAGCCGGTGAAGGGAGGTCGAGGAAGGTTATACGCTGGACAGGGCGAGTTGAGCAGTACGGATAAAGGTCCCAGTTCTGCACAGACTGGGAGAGAGGAGAAGAAAGATAGCAGATGATACGAAGGAGTGGAATCATCTCTGTGGTGCGCTGCAGATGCTACCATGCGTTCACGGCACATCCGGAGGACTGAACGGACAGCGAGATCATACTCGGCAGAATAGCGTGGATACGTACTCAATCTAAGTATTCCTGCTTGGAACAGGGCAATAGGTCACCATACGAAGCTGTCCACTACCGGAAGGAAGAGGGGAAACTAGTGCGTACTCTGCGCAAGAATCATGAGCATCTCCTCGATCCTAACGCGAAGCGCGGATTCGCCTGCTCGTTCACTTCGGCAGAACTCTGAGGCTGCGGAGCTGTTCCAAACGAGAAATGAAGAGATCGAGGTGGAGTGTGTTGGTATTGTGTACCATTCGCTATATATATGCAGTTAGAACCAGTCTCGACATGCAAATTAAGCAGTCCAAGAGAGTTCGAAGCGCGCCATCGCAGGCGGTTCTCCTTCCAAGACTCTACGGCCACCGTATGCTGAGCTTTGTCTTAGTCCTGAGTTACGTTCCTTAGAGCAAATACATTGCAGCTGATTCTCATCGGCCCTTCAAGCATCCTGTTTCCCCGTTCTCTTCGCTCCTGTATGGCAAGATGGCCCCATGCAGTCGTTTCAGACAGATTGCTGCGGCGCTCATCCGCCTCTTCTTTGGATTCAAGAGCGGAGCCCTGTGCTTTTCGGAGAGGAAGCTGGTGGCTCGCGATCGCTTTCGTCAACGCTGGTCTATTCTCAGGAAGTCCCTCGTATCACACTCCTGGCCGTAGCTGGTGTCGTGAGCTCAGAAGCTTCTATTCCTTCGGAACACGCTCGCTTCGCCGTTTGCCATAGCCATGAAGTTAATTGCGCGCGAGGCGCGGGATGGGCAGGTGATGCGGGTTGCAGTGCGAGCTTTCCTCCATGTGCTTTATGTCGTTCAGTATGATGCTCCAGTCCCACCCAATGTTCATCGTTCGCTCGCGATTTCTCGCACTGAAGGTGATGATTCGGTGAACGGAAGTCGCGCTCGTGATCGTGCGTCTTACCGTGCTACCGCCTCTATCGCGCGCAGCATCTCTTCCCAGCGCATGTCAGACTGCAGGGGTAATGCAGAATATGCACCTGCGTTCGCTGCTCCGGATGACCAAACGTTTTCTGAGCGGCCTCGTGGCAGCCTCTCAACACTGCCAGCTATGTATCGAGTCTATGCTCGGCTCGCGAGTGGACTTGAGGCCACCGGATACTCGCAGCAGCTGTGTGTGGCAGTCACGTCTGAATGGGCACCTATCTCCTATCAAGCAGGAGACAATCGTGCCTGGCTTCTGACTTCACGGTGGCTCGAGGACGGAGACGCTCCTGTGCAGCGCGACTGCTGTCCATGCCAAACTTCCAGACCAGCCGTTGTGAACAATGTTACGTGGCGCGGTGTATCCGGCAGCATGAGAGCACTTTCAGTTTCCTCGAGAGGCCACATACCGTCACTACGTCGCTTCTCCCACCTTCGACATGCCCAAAGCGCAGAGGCAGCCACGGTACTCCCCCAGCGTCTCGCGCGTGACCCTGTCTTGTCTTCTCGTGCCTTCTGCCATCTCGAAGCTTTGACGCCCTGCAGGGGGTGTTGTTTGGATGCTTTAGGGGTCCACCAAACGCCAGCCACAAGATATCAGCAATATCTGCACGCTGACAACACACCATATCTTGAAATGCCCCAATGCCATCCAAATTTAGATCGAGCGTGATCAGCGTGACTTGCAGATGAATCTCCCGTTGTTCGCATGTCGGAGCGCCTCCTCGTTGTGGAGAAATCGCGATCTGAAGATCTGAAGTTCTTGAATATAGTTCGAGGCGCGCAGTGTCCTCACAACCGTTTCCAGTCATGCAACCAGCGTATGCGCTCTTCAGATAGCCGTTGACGCGCAGCACTTGGACAAATGTCGTCGCCGTCACTAGCGTGACCCACTTGCTGGCAAGCATAAGACACTGCTCTCTCCTCCATTTCTTTCTCTTCCTTCTCATCACCTTCCACCCACCCTTCTCTCTCCCTCCTTCCCCCAGCACCAACCCGCACATCACCCCTTCACCTCGCCAGCGCCACCTGCTAACTTCTTTCTTTCTTAGGGACACAAGAACTCGAAAGATCAAGTCGCCCCGGGTTCGCACTCGCAGCGTAAGTCCTCGCGGCAGCGTAAGTCGAGTGCCGTTTGTCGGTCGCATTTCAAAGGAGTACGCGAAAAACATGGTCCAAGCCTAGCTCTCCCTTGCTGTAAAAATCCGTGTTTACACGGTCGCAAGTCATCTGTTAGGGCGGGCATCTGCGGGTGAAAGTACATAGATTTGATCTTTTGGCGTTCGGCGTTTGGGTTTGGGCGTTCTGATTTTGACAAGTGGCATCTGGACTTCTGGAGACTGGACTTCTGGAGACTGGACTTCTGGCGACTGGATCTGGGCATCTGGAGCTGGCCTCTGGACTTCCGGTTTCTGGTGCCTGGTGCCTGGCGTTCTCGGATCTGGATCTGGACCGGCGCCTTTGAGCGGGCAGAAGAACAACCTCATGGCTAGTGAAGGTTTCAGAATCCGGTGAGCGTCCGCCTTCCGTGTGCTGTCTCGACTATGCTGACATCTGGCGACAGAACTGGGGAACCGGGAAAGACTCAAACACCTTTGAGCGGGTTCACAACAACCTCGCGGCCAGTGAACAGTTCACAGCTCGGTAAGTGCAACCATCTCCGCGGCTCGCAAGAAGAAACGCTGGCTTCTGCCAGAATCGACAGGGCATGGTGCGCACGCTTTCGAGCGAGGCACCTGGGCTCCCGCGGCACTGGAACATCTCGACACTTGGAATGCCTGTTGCATGTCAGCGTCACTTCTCATCAAACGACTCACCTCGCACATTGGAAGTGGCGCTGGCTTGCAACAGTTTTTCTCAGCCAACCGCCGCTTGGGCCTTTGAGCGGGCCATACAACAACCTCGCAGCGGTGACCAAATACTGGAGAGGTAAGTAGTCCTCGGCATTCCCATCAAGCATTCACTGATCTTGCTTCAGGGAACAGTCGCGCCGCGAACGTCGTCTTCTCCGGGGTTGCCCAGCCTTTGAGCGGGCTTCACAACAATCTCGCAGCGGTTCTGACAGGCGGGAGTGGTAAGTCATCTTGCGCCTGCACGTCCTAATCATCACTGACAGGTACAGCAGGTGATCAGCGAGCCCGAATATCGCCTCTCTCGCCTCCTGTGGATCCTGGACGCCTTTGAGCGGGCTTCAGAACAATCTCTCAGCAGGGCCGGGAACCCGACAGTGGTAAGCCATCGTCCTTGCACATTCATCCCCCTCCACTGACTTTGTCGCCAGGTGTCTGGCGTGCGCGACACGCTCTGCTGTTTCAAAAAGACAGCGCCGCGAAATCGGCCTGAGACAGACCAAGCAGCAGCTTCTGGCCCATGGAAGCTCCTTGCCATCCGGAGTGTTCGCAGGTTTGAGGCTTGCTTGAAAGCTTCTCGCGCTTCGCAGCACCTTCTAACAATCTCATTGCGGGCTGAAGCCATCAACAAGGTATGTTCATCGTATCCTGAGCGAATTGAAGGGCACATGCACAAGCTGAAATTTCGCGCAGATTATTTCCGACTTGAGATTTCGGTGATTTCTGGCCCTTGCAGCTTCACGAAGCCTATCGGTAGCCAGATTTAGAGCGAGCAGTCAGTAGCAACAAAATCAGAAATTCTTGCGTGTCCAAGTTGTCTCCAAGGCGTGGTTCATGTTACTCTCTTGTCATCATCTCGTCGCGGTCGCATGGACTAGTGGGGCGTCCTTGAGTTGTCTTGCCACCATCGCGCACGTTGCAACCACAAACTCACGTGCACCTGCATTTACGTGATGTGATAACTTCCCGATCGACAGTGAGGGGAAAAAGTGTCATTGATGAAGAAAAGAAGATCATGCTCTTTGGTCCGGGAAGAATGGAAATTGGTATCCTTGGCATCACGTGCCTGGGCTCAGATGGCAGAGGGATTTACTGGAGCATCACATCAGCCACTTCCAAGAAAGGTGATCACAACTTATTGAAGAGTGATGATAGAAGATCGTTAGACGTAAGATGTGAGATGACGGGAGGACGAGGGATTGACAGAGGCAATGAGAGACGATCTCATAAACATCTATAGTGACTGTAACATGCTATCATTTTCATAAAACCAGAACATCATATCTGAATTCGTTTTAGACGATCGCAGCAGGCGTTCTGCCCCACTGAGGAGCATTAATGGCGAAGCCCATAAGACATCCAGAGATCACAGCGGTCGAAGGCAGGGTAATGAACCAACCAGCGTAGCTCTATGAAAGTAGTTAGTAGGAGGTCAGGACGATTCAATAGCGATTGTACTATACCCAAAGAACCATGCGCCAATTAATGGCCTTAAAATCGCCTGCACAGAGACCAACACCAACAGTAGCGCCAATGATACACTGTGTGGTAGAGACCGGGAGGGCCAAACGCGTCGCCAGGACGACAGTGACAGCTGCGCCAAGCTCCATACAGAAACCACGAGCTGGGGAGTGCAGAGTGATGCGGTTACCCAAGTTACGCATGAGGTTGTATCCGTATGTCCAGAGACCGATGGAGATGGAAGCACCTCCGAAAATTAGGATTCAAATCGGAACCTCGGAATCTTCGCCGGCAGTGTTAGTACGCCAGATCTGGTAGATGGCGGCCAATGGACCCATGGCATTGGCGACGTCGTTGGCTCCGTGGCCGAAAGATGCGGTTGCAGCGGTCATGACTTGGAGGAAAGAGTACAAATGCTCCACTTTGTTGTCGTAGTGTTCCACGCGAGCGTGCTTGTCCGCGAGATTCTTGCCCACCAATAAACGTTGAAGGAACTTGGGCTCATTGTTTCGAGTCGTTGCACTCTGTTCTGATACAATATCGATCATGACACCGCGGAAGAAGAACCACTTGGCGGTCTTCCAGAGCTGAGCTGGCTCCCACCACTTGGGCTTGACCTCAGGGACGGCTGGTTCGGCTGGCTTCTCAGCCATGGCAACAGCTGGGCTGTGAACGTAGGATTCACGGCGCTTCTCGGTGCTGATGCCGTCAACATCGACTTGGGTCTTGTCGAGGGACTCCTCGTCGCTGGAGCGGTCGTTAACGATCGTGCGACCCTCGCTGTCGAGCTCAGCGCGCGTCTTGTGGCCGGCGTAGTAATCTGGCACGAGACGCATGCCCTCGGGAACTGGACCAGCATCTGGACGGCGGAGAAGGAGAGGGCCCTTGATGATCTCCCATTGCTTGAGCTTCCAGTCCTCCTTGACCAAGCGGACGTAGATGAATGGCATGAGGAAGAGGGCGGAGAGGAGCGCAACACCACCAGCAACACCGAAGATGGTACCGACGGTTGGAGCAACTCCCCAGTCATCGAGATCGAGGGATGCAGCTCCCTTCCAGACGACCAACATAGTCAGGATACCAGAAGTGAGGCCGAAGAAAACCGGAATCGTCCAGAGGCCGACGATGAGCGGATTCCTGGACTTCATGACACCGTACTGCAAGGCTATCAGCAAGGCCTACCACAGCAAATGTCATATCCTTGAGCTTACCTTGGTGAACAAGAACAACAGCGCACCGAAACATCCGGCAACGCAAGGCGCAATACCCCAGGCTGCGAAAACCTGAGAAACGCCCTCCCAGCTCCAGTCAACGCCATTGGCACCGACAGTCGCGAAGCCGACACCAATAATACCGCCAATAATGCAGTGTGTTGTTGAGACGGGAAGTCCGATCTTGGTGGCGAGGGTCAAGAAAAGGGAAGAACCGATAAGAGCGCACAACATTCCCAACATGAGCACAGAGGGGGTCTCCTCAAATTCGCTGATCTGTATGATGTCGTTTCGGATAGTACCAGCGACACGGTTACTGGGGTTGGTTAATTGGTTGTACATGTGAAATGGCGTCTCATACTGACCCTGCGAGCACTGCTCCGAGGAACTCCATGACCGCACCAATGGTCATGGCCTGGATCATGGTCAAGGACCTGGATGAGACCGAAGTCGCGAACGAGTTGGCCACATCGTTAGCACCAATGTTCCACGCATCGAGGAAGGCGAAACACAGGCCGAGGCCGAAGATGTAGCTGTACTGTGGAAGAGCAGCCATTGCGTCGAGATACTGTCAAGAAACGGTATACGACAGAGGGACTCGTGCCAAAGAAAGAATGGGTTTGCAATGAACAGAACGCGAAGCAGTCCCTACCTGGTTCAGCTGTACTTATATGAGATGGAAGGACTTTCCGCCACAAGCAAAAGCTGTGCCGCTGCCAGATCGATCATGGCTACCAAGCATTGCCATGAGGTGCTAGGAGGCACGAATTCCCTCGTGGCGAACGAATGTTTGGCTGAATTCGTTTTTGCCCGTGGCTCACAGGACCACCAACAGGTATCAGCGCTCGTCGTTGGATACCTGGGTACTGCACTTGGCTCTCGGTCTTCTGGGTTGGCAGACAGCGCTGAGAGAATCCAAGGCTTCCTCGGCGACGTTCGATAGCTTTAAAGTGGGTACGACAAGAGGAATTCGGCGAAGCCCAAGATACTGCGAGAGCTTCTGAAGACTTCTTTTCAACGTCTGACCTTGTCTTGGTGGCATGCGCTCGCGAAGGCCAGCGTATCTCTGAGGTTTTGGCGCAATTCGTGATATACACATTGTTGCAGCGACACCTTCCGCATGCAACAGGTGCGTATAGGTGTGCCATCGCAGCGCACGCTGGTGGTGTTGGCAAAGTCTGTTGGGCAACGCCTCGCGTCGGCCGGCGAGGAACTTTCCACTCCAATCATAAGGCGGCACTCCACCACGTGTCGATGCAGCTCTTCCTTCCACAGTGCTTCTGCTTCTTTGCCAATGGACCTCGAACAGCGTCGAACAGACATCGTTTTCTTGGATCGCCTTGACATGGCGCGGTGTTCGGTGCAGTCTTGTCGACACGCCAGGACCAGCTTCCTCTTCGAGTATCTTGCGCCCGTCTGCCTTCCACGTGCTGCATGAGCCCATTTCCACAGTCAGCGCGCAGGTTGACGTGCTCAGGCGTTCGCCGACGCCACTGTGCTGTGAGCCCATGCCAATGCAATGCCCAAGGAACCTAGAGATGCCACAATGAGTGAAGGTGCTGGCCAGTCATCGACTTCGTTGCAGCCCACGAGGCCTTCTTCCTCGCTAGCGCATCGGCGAAGCCCTACGATATGGACTGCTCTGTGACGATGTCGATTGATAGCATGCGATCGGAGGAAAGATGCTGAGCGCCATCATGGGCACGAGGAGAGCGAGGTCTACGTTGTACGCGGAGAGATGAAGTCGGCGGGCGGCAGACGAAAACAATATATGTAGTCAGTTTCCAACCATGTCTGGGCCAGAATGTCACCCGCGCCAGATGATTCGTCCATCGATATGCTTGTCGGGAGAAATGATTGAGAGCTGCATTTCACAGAGACGTGGACACCATCAAGGCGATATCATGCAATGACTGCAGCTCCGCGCGCACGTGGAGCCTGGCGTAAGCAATTGGTAATGTACATGTTGTTTCCATGCCCAGTGCAGCGGTATTTCGTGTAAGAGAACTCGAAATACCGCTGCACCATGATTGGCTGCGGACTGGACGCCGTGCTGGGCAGCTGCGAGCAGGCTTGTGATGTCAAGCTGTCTTCAACTTTCTTCCGACTTGTCCACCACACATCCCCACTACATGGATGAGCGACGATGACCGACATTACGGGGGACTTCAACATCTGCTTGAAGCAAAAAGGCGCTGAGCCGGTTCTGCCCAAGCAGTATGATCTCCAGTCCATCAACGCTTTCCTGCAGGAAGCGTATAGCATAGTATGTATGCTGTGGAGGCTGCAATGGTGCCTGGCTAACATCTGCTCAAGTATGCGCGCATAGCAGACCTGAACCGAGAGCTGCGTGCTATCCGCCCAGCCTATCTCTCAACAGCACAGCAGTCTCGACGACGGCACGTGAGCGACAGCGCCCGACCCTTGACAGACGACGAACGCGAGGCTATCGATGCCCAGTCGAAGCAATTGTTGCGACAACTCAATGCCAAAATAACCGGACTCAAACAGGCCGAGGATGTGCGAAACCAGACATTGGACTCTGTCGCCCTGCGCAAGCGTGCCCAAGGCGGCTTGATGGGGCTCGGGCGGTGGGCAGCAGGCGGAGCGCAAACTGCAAAGTCGCCCGAAGAAGAGCTTGAGGAGGCTGCCAGAAAGACCATCTTCGCTGTCAGAGAGAGCATCATTCTGTACTTGCAGCAGAAGCTGGAAGAAGCTGGACGGGTGCAGAGTGAAATGATGGATATACGTTTGACCAGAGAAGTGGAGAAGACAAAATCTATATTGGCCAAGTCAGCGATGGGCGGTGCCACATCTCACCTCGCAGGCGAATCTTTGGCGTCTTCTCAATCAGGCCCTTCGAAACGGCAGCGCTTCTCTGTTGAGCTGGAAAGCGGAACATCTGACACGATGGCGCGCGAAGAGCTGAGCGAAGAACAGCTCCAGCTCTTTGCAGAAGAGAACAATGAGCTTCTCAAGCACTACGAAGACCAGCTGGACCAGGTACGCACCGCGGAGAAGAGTATCCTGGAGATCAGCGAGCTGCACAATACTTTGCACGCCAACCTTCAACAACAGAGCGAGCATATCGAACAGCTCGTACAAGATTCGTACCTGACCACCGAGAATCTGGGCAGAGGTAACAAGGAGCTCCAGCGAGCAAGCGAACGACGGAGCACTGCTCAGATGCTATTCTGGTCGACCTGTGCCTTCTGCAGCTTTCTGGTGGCTTGGGACTTTTTTATTTGAGAGCTACATCTTTCGAGCACCGTCTATCACTCGAATCTATGCCAATTATTCTGCAACATACTCCAGACAACCGGACAGCAGCCCTACTCTTGACGAAAGGACTCGAAAAGAAGAGAACGCATCCTGGGCTCAACACTCTTCTGAATATGCGGACCTTTGAGGACGATCCGAATGCTGCAGCTCTGGGAAGAATTCTTCGAGTCCTCCCCAGTCGGCTGCGCTCAAGTCTATGCGCTGATCTGTCCTGCTCTCGTGCGACCCAGCTTCGTTATTGGAAGATGTCCTGCCCTGCTCCGCACCCATCGATAGCGATGCACTAGATCGGCGTGAAGTCTGGTGACCCGCGCTGAGAGTGCTGTGCAGCTCAGACGCATCCTCTCTCAAGGATGTCCAAAGGAGTCTTCGGTGTGCCGATCGTTGTCTAGCAGCATTGGAAGAATTCGGGGTATTGCTTCCAATCTCAGTCTCCGCAGCACCGAGCGACCTCTGCGGCAACAGCATCTCCGTGGTCGTTCGCAACCGCTCAAGCAGCGCTTGAATCTTTCGCAGTAATTCGCATTCAGAGCGCGCACCTCTTTCGACTGCATCTGCGGCTCCAGAAGCTGCGGGCGTCTGATCTAAACTCATTAGCTGCATGCTCTCAACCACAATGCGAGCTCTCAGCACTTGCCTACGAAGCGGTACTCTGTTGTAACTCTGCCAGGCTTCTCCTCGTATATGCACTGCAGCTATGTTAGAAAATCACGCCCTCACCAAAACAGGGATTCAAAACGGGACCGAGCTTACCAGGGAGCTCGTTTCTCTGCACCTCGCGCAGACTGGTCGTCCTCGATCACATTTCAGCTTTCGACGTCTGCATGGTGTCAGTAATTGGTGGCAGCAACCGAAAACCATTAATGCTGACCTGCAACTCCGACATGTGGTAACGCTACGATCACTGTACCGGGACATGAGAAGCAAGAATTGAATTCGCTTGAAAATGTTACAACTTAGCGCAACGAGATGCCATCATCCGACTACGTCTGTCATGATATAAACCCATGACTACGGCATCGGTCGAAGCAACATGAAGCGTCTAGACAAACCACCGACACAACTATTCTCGAAGAAGTAGCTAGAGACGGCTGATTGTTATGAAAGCCAGTCGCATCGTGCTTTGAGGTGAATAATCTGGCTCACCCGTGCCGCATAGCCAATTCCTAAACCGCCGCTCCGTGATGTGGCTGTTACACGAGCCGGTGGCAATAGACTGAGCCTAGACGCTGTTTGAGATAGACAATCAGAAGCCTCAGGTCGTCCAAGTCGGATGTCGTCAACGGACGTGATCGCCATTAGTGATGTCAAGCCCCGGAGCTTGGGTCCGGGCATCGGCTATGTCAGACGACTTGTGCGACATTTCGGCGATGTGAAGAAACCGACGCCGAAGTCCCTTGCATGCATGCCACAGGGAACATCACTTCAAACGCTGCGTCAGCATGTGAAGTAAGCCGTCTTCCAGTCGTCTCTGATGTAGGGAGGTTCGAATTGACCTCTGCGACTTTCACAAGCTTTGCCCGAGGCTGTTTGGCTTTCATGAGATCCTTCGAACGTCTCACGATAACGACGTGCGCTAAGATCACACTCCGCAACTGGAGACGTTGCTACATCGTACAGTAGGCAGCAACTGAAAACACTGGAACGTGCGCACTGCAGTTTTATATTTGAGCAATAAACCCTACCAAGAACCATTTTCACCATTGTGCTCTGACCCTAAAGCTCTATCGAATTGGCATCAAACTTTCGTCAAATTTCGCGTTGAATCACACTCCTATCAGCTTCAGCACACGAAGGAAGCAGAAACACACACGCATTCTTCCACGTCTTGCCGCCAGCATCACACGTCGCCGGGAACATCAAACGGACCACCCAACAAGAAGAACAAAACTCGGAACGATGTCCTCCCTCCTCAGCACCCTCCAAACCTTCTTCCTCGGCATCCAGCCTCCCGGCGCCCTCCCACCATCCCTCACATCCTCCTACATAATCTTCCACTTCATCTTCGCCTACGCCGGAATTTCCACCCGCCCTTGGAAATCCCACTACAAAATCGACCACCAAGTCTCCCCACGCGAAGACTTGACAAAGTACGGACCAAAAGGTCAGCCTAAAACCCAATAATACCCAAATGTTCTCCAAAGCCTAACAACTTATACTAACATACTTTCTTGTCAATCTGTAGCCGTCGCATCAGGAAAACTTACTCAAAAACAACTGAACCAGATCATTCGCGTACAATCCGCTCACGAGAATAGTGTGGAGCATTTCCCGCTTTTCGTTGGAGCGCTTTTGTTCGCTCACGTGGCGCATTTGCCAACAGAGGTGATCAATAAGACAGGAGCTTATTATACGCTTGCGAGATTGGTGTACGTTGCTTCGTACGTCCTCATTACAGACGCGAAGTTAGCTTTGCTGCGAGGGGTGGCATGGTGGGCAAGTAACATTATTTGCTTGAAATTGGTTTGGTTGGGCGGCAAGGCTTTGAATGCTTGAGGCATTTGCCATGTTGGAGCGAATGAGTGGAGCTTCTGCGACGAGCATGGTGGGAAGAACATATAACGACAGCGAATGGCATCGGAACACAGAACGATTCGGAGAGGAAAAGGTTCAATCATTGCACAGCAACAGTACTTTTGTGTTGAAGCTAGGGCCCCTGGCCCTGAATTTCTATCAACCTTCTACTGCCGACATTGTCTCGTGCCTGGTCGTGCTCTCGTGCCATTACTCATCACATACCGTAAAGAGAAGTCCTGTCAAACCTCTATGATGTCTCACGAACGACGGCATCGACCGACTTGGCAAAGTAGTCGATGTTCTTGGTGTTGAGACCGGCCATGGAAATGCGGCCGTTCTTGGTCATGTAGATGTGGTACTCGCTGCGAAGCTTCTCCACCTGCTTCTCGTTCAGGCCAGTGAAGGAGAACATGCCAATCTGGTCGGTGATGTGATTCCACGTGCCTGGAGTCTTGGCCTCCTCGAGACGTGTGCGAACAGCCTTGCGCATCTCCTTGATGCGGCCAGACATGGTGCGCAGATCCTCTTCCCACTGCGCGAAGAGCTTGTCGTCGTTGAGGACCAGGGAAGCAATGCGAGCACCGTACGCCGGAGGATTTGAGATTTCCGAACGCTGGAGTATGGCCAGTTGCGATCCAACACGCTGTGTGGTCTCTGCTGCGCTGGAGCCTGGGGATGTGACAAAGTGGAAACAGCCTGCGCGCTCACCGTACAGACCAAAGTTCTTGGCGTAGGATTGAGCGATGACGAGCTCGAATCCTTGCTCGACGAAATAGTTAATGGCCCAGCCGTCCTTCTCAAGCGAGCCAGAGGCGAAGCCTTGGTAGGCAGTGTCGAAGAATGGGAAGTGCTTCTTGGACTTCATGACCTTCGCAATCTCCTTCCACTGATCTTGTGTGGGGTCCACGCCCGTGGGGTTGTGTGCACATGCGTGCAAGAGAATAACGCTGCCCTCTGGTGCGTCCTTGATAGCGCCAATCATGCCCTCGAAATCGAGACCCTTGGTCTGCTTGCTGAAGTATGGGTATTGCTTGACCGGCAGTCGGACGTTGCCGAAGATCTGGTTGTGGTTTGCCCATGTTGGGTTGCTAACGTAGACCGCCTTTGCCTCTGCGTTTGCCGGGTTGTAGAACTTGGCGAGGAAAAGGGCACCAAGATGCACAGCTCCTGTACCGGAGATGGTCTGAAGGGAGATGACACGCTTGTCGGCAATGGCAGGCGAGTTCTTGCCCAAGATGAGCTTTTGAGAGGCGGAGGTGAAGTCAGGGAGACCGGCGATGGGAAGGTACTCGTGGTTGAGGTCGGGATCGTTGCGAAGGAGTTCGTCTGCCTGAGGTGGGTGTTAGTAAGGCGTGGATGCACCGACCTCCACATGATTGAAGCTTGCAGGTGCATTCTCAACAATGGCAATTATCCCGCATCGCCAATCCAACAAACAGAATGTATGACTCGAACGCCTCCTTCTTGCTTCCAATGACCGGAAGCGGTGTCTGCCAATTTCTCGCCACCGTGTTCGGACTCTTTCTCTGTGCTCCAAACTAGCTTACCTGCTTCACGACGGGAAGAACCCAAGGCTTCGCATTGTCGTCACGATATGCTCCAATTCCCAGATCGATCTTTTTCGAATCGGTATCCTTGCGGTAGGCGGCCATCAATCCGAACAGCGGATCCTCTGGTGCGAGAGGCACGACATCCTGCGTGAAGGCCGTAGCCACGTTGTCGCCAACAGACCCCATGTTGAGTTGCGATTTGAGTTGCTGGAGTCGCTGTTTGGAAGGGTTGGTGTTCTTGTTTGAAGATGACATTGGCGGGACAGCTCAGTGGGCTGTTATGTAAATTCGTGGAGCAAGTGGGCCAGGGTCTCCGCCAGACGCGGCAACGGAAGGCGCGTCTCGGGCTCGTGTGGAGAAATGGAGCAAGCTCGAGCTTTTTCGCGTTTCACTTTGCGTCTTCACTTTGCAAAATGTCGCCGTCTGCTGCTTTCGTGAGCAGTGCAGCCCGGCGGGTCATATGCTCTACAATTTATCCCGGCTCATTTTCGGTTCCATGTGATGATATCAACACACCATCACTTCAGAGCGTAGTCTACTCGCCCAGCCTAGGCGAAACGCGGTCAGGAAATACCCACGGAGCCGAGGCACGCCCTGCTGACCTGAACTGCTTGCTCGGCGTTTGACACCTCTTCCACCTGCCTGCCACGCGCTTTCTGCAGTCTATGCCGGACGCGGTGGGGCCAACATCCAGGAGTGAAGTGCGGCAATGCTCCAAGTCAGAAGAAATGTATGCACAAATCTTGTCAGTTGACAGCACATCGACGGCGTTCAATCCGTAGCCAGTATACCCTGGGGTACATGAGTTGTCCAGCCGCTGCAGGCTGCGGGTAGAACGGCGAGAACGCGGATCTTTGGAGAAACGGATGGGGAACTGTTTGGGCAAGGGGCATGAAGACATGGCCCTCACTATTCTGCTTCGAAGCTGATGAAGGATCATACTGGAGTACAGTATCATGCAAGATGCTTTTTCTCGTCAGCAACCCCTGCTACAGCGCTTTTTCCAAAGATCGACTGCTCGACTCCAGTCCCATGGAGCCACCGCCTCCTATCCTGACGTCTGCTCTGTCGCCGGAAACTTGGACAATTAGCCAACCCAGTCGAAAACAGCTTTGGCGAACTGGTCCGGGTCCTGCAGCGGCGCAAAATGGCTCACATCCGTGAACTTCACATATCCACTCCCCTTGATCACTTGATGCTGATGGAAAGGCACACCACTGTTCACCGCCTCATCATATTGCGCCTCCGCGATAGTCACCTTCTTGCCATCGATAGTCGCTAACTTCGCATCCGACCAGTTAGGCTGCGTGCCTTCCAACGTCTGAACCTTCAACGCGAAATCCGTGAAGTTTGCTGTTGGTTGAAGTTGAGCATACTCCGTTCCGCAGCGGGCAACAAATTCCGAGAAAATCTGTGTATCGCCGAATGTGGCATTTGTATCAGAAGGTTTCTGCGAGCCCGCGAAAGCGAATGCCTTCTCAATGGTAGGGTTGATAGCAGGATCCAGAAGTCCTGCGAAGGTCGTGATGGCGCCGTCGCTCCAGCCGAGCCAGTATGCCTTCTCAACGCCTTGAGTACGGAGGAGATCGACGGTGTCTTTGGCGAATTGCTCGAAGCCAGTGAAGTCTGTTGGCAAATAGGTGGAACGTCCATGGCCACGACGGTCGACTGCGATGACATAGTGCTTCTTCGACACTCTGGAGATTACATCGCCGAAGTACGCGGAGTAGCCTAGACCACCTGCGATAAAGACGATCGGGATCCCGCCAGCAGCTTCATTGTACTTCTGCGACCAGAGCTGGACCCCGTTGATTGCTGTCCTAGCTTCGCTAATTGGAGCCGGAAGAGCTGGAGTTGGCGGAAGGGTCTCCCATACTGCTGCGCAGAGCGCCGTGCTGGCGAATGGAAGAAGACTTGAGACGCGCATTGTGATTTCTCTTGGAGTCGGCCTGAAGTTGCAACCAAATCTGCGACTCTGCGCGCTCTTGGGTGCTTATGTGTGGCATCTTTTATTGTTCAGTGGCGCCATATGGCCCGTGTTCGTATAAGTCTCACTTAAGTCTCGCTCCGTGGACGCCACGCACACCGATATTCTGCCGTACGGAGTTTGTTGACACTACCGCATCCGGAGAGCAACCACATCCGATTCTTCCAACGTGGTTTCCGCTTACTGTACTTTCGACGTGGAAGAGACTTGCTTATGGCGCGACGACATAGCTTGTGCCTCCTCGTACGCAATTCGCCTAGCTTCACTGCGGACTTTCTTAGATGCTGGCGGCAGCCCGCAGGGCGAGGCACGACGCTCCAGACCTGAGCAGGCTTGATTCTTAGCCTGTTGAATCCATGTCGGCTCTTCTAACACCCGTTGCCAACAAGCTGGAAGTTCGGATCCAAGATTGCGCGCGCTGCTTTTGTCCTACGGCGGGAGGTTCGGGCTCTGCAAATCGTCAACAATGGTCACCAGCCAACATGAACGGAACGCGTCGCAATGCCCTTGCAAATTTGTATCAGACGCGTGAAGTCCGTGAGGCTGCGACTGAGCGGCGCATCGCGTGTAACTCGTGATTCGTGAGAATGAAGTATGCAGATTGATACCCCTCAACGGCCCAGCGCCTTCACTCTTGCCTCGAGGTCTTCCACCCAGCCCTTGACAAAGTTTCCATTTCTCCCGTTCGCCTGGCCATGCTGCTCAACAGCTTCTTCCACTTTCTGTAACCCTTCTCGCCACATCTTCAGCTCTTTATCCATCTCAGCCTGTCTACTTTCGATATCGTCGAGATCCCGGCTTGCATTGGCGGCTGCTGAGTGCAGCGTGCGAAGAGATCTTAACCTCTCCACAAGCGGCGGAACGATAGGAGAGAGTGATTGCAGACTGGGTAGTAAGGTGTATAATGTCTCAAGACGTTTCATATCATCGGATGACAGCAGCGGTGGAGCCTCGCTTTCTTCTTCATCGTCTGATCCGGCTGGAGTGCTCTTCGCGCTGACCGCAGCTCTTTGTAGTTGTGCAAGATTGTGTGCTTCTGACTTGAGTTTTTGTATGCGTGATGTGGCTTGCTCTAGTGAGCTCAACGATGTTGCAGTGGTCAAGCTGGCAAGCTGGTGATCGAGTAGCGTCAGAGTCGGCAGCAATGGAGTGGATGCGCTGTCCGCATCTGTAACCGAGTCTAAAGATGCTATGCCCAGTGACTGCTCCAACGCAGCCAGCCTGGCCTCAAAAGCCGAGACCTTCGTCAAGGTGTGCTCATCATTCACATCGCCATCTCGATCGGTCCCAGTGTCCGGTATAGCTGTTGAAGGTGCGTCGTGAAAGACGCTGCCACTGTTGTTCCTGGCATGTCCCTTTTTCTTCCGTGCTTTTTCAGGTAATTGCGCTTCAGCAAGCATCTCGCATAGCTTCTCGGTGGCATCAACGTAGCCATCGTCATCCTCCCCATCCTCATTGTCAGTGTCTGCCTTCCTCTGTCGTCTCTCAGCTTCTGCTTCTGCCCGGCATTCCTCGACCTCCCTACGCAGTCTTGCAATCTTTGCCTCTAGAGTCTCATCGTCGTCCTGCACTGCGCCACCGCGTTTTACACGATACCCCTTCCGTCGGCCATCCACTCTGTCGCTCAAATCCGCCCCTCTGGTCTCGATAATACGGCTTTGTTCTCCAAAGCGCAAGCGCGCCCCACTGACATGCAATCTCCGTGTGCTGATACCGCGAAAGTCGTCATCGTCTTCTTCATCGGCACTCGTGTCTGAAGGCTCCGAAGGAAGTGGAGGGGAGGAGCGATTTCCAGCTGTGCTTGCGGTCGTGTCATCGTCTACGTATGTTTCGTAGACGTCCGGTGCGGTATCCAGACCAGGTAGTTCTGAGCGCGGTGCGGGAGCATTCGCCATCGTGTTGTGTCTTCTTCGTTTGTTATGAGCAATGTGAATCACGAAGTTCAGCAGTCGCGGCTGCTGCAAGGTCGTGAAACGAGATGGTCAGAGCGTCAACACGACTTCACGTGCAGATGACGCTCCTGCTCCTTCTCTGTCCTCTTCACATGCACTCTCGAGGACTGATGCTCAAATCTGGGAGTCATCATCCTACTGGTAAAGAGATGCGATTCACGTCGCGAACCATTGTGGAAGATGTCCCCTGTACACATAATGCTTCTACGGAAAGTGCCCATCTCAACGCCATCAGTATGGAGCAGCCATGGTTGATATTGACCACTGCGACAGCAGTGCGATGCTCAACGATGGATACTGAGCTGCTAGCGATACACAGGCTATACCGCAACTACTAAAACAAGGCGCTCGAAATGCAGGAGCAAGCTCTGGGGAACTTCTCATTCGCAAGGGATTCCACGTGCGAGCAAAAGACGCGTTGGCGCTTTCAAAAAATGTGTGCGCGGCCTCACATGATGCAACTTTCCGCTCAGTGCTTCAGGCACATATGTGGTAGAACCTGAAGCCAAAATCCTGCCAGCTGTGCTCAGCGAAGCCTATCTTCACAGAGGAAAAAAATGTCTGCCATCTTGAGAAGTTCGGGACGGGAATGAAAGATTATCGTAACGGCCGCTTTTTCTGATTCAGGAAAGCATACGACTTCTAGAAGCTGCGAAGCGAATAAATTCAACGAACCTCATTCAATCGTCGCAATGCTGTCAGCAACGAGGCTGCTGCTCGCAACACTTCTGCTCCTGGGCCCCATCACACTAGCAGATGATGATAAAGACAAGCTAACACCGCCGCTGATCAAGCCACCAAAGAATGGAGGAATTGTGAACAACCCCATCCAGTTCGACGTTTTCACCTACGATGACAATGACTGTCAGTACGTGCTCAATTCAAGAAAGAGGTTCGCCGCCAATCGTGGTACGCCATGCTATCCAATTCCTGTGGGATTCGACAGCTACCACTACAACATCTACCAAGGGGTCGAAAGTGCTAATTGGGTGGTCCCAAATGCTGTCCACGGAAATTGTGACTGGAGGGACGGATGCGGGCATCAGAGGACCGACATCTTTCTGACAAGACATGGACTTTGCAATATTACAGTCTTTCCTAATGCCCAATGCAAAGGCTTGCCGATACACACGCACGAAAAGGTAAGCGCAAGCCTCGAATAAATGAAAATGGAACTGAAGCTAACACTTCTCCCTCTACCAAGGCAAACTGGCAAATGAATGCCAACCAATGTATCAAGAAATTCTTCATGGACCCAGTGACGAAACAGCGTGTGCGAGGGCACAGCATGGCTGTGTGGTGTCAGCAGTTCGACCAAGTGCTCAAAGACGAAGTACATTATCCCAACGTGCTCAATTTGTGTCCAGCCGGGCCCCCGGATCAATACGACATACGGCAACACGAAAAACCTGAGGATCCGTACTTCTGGCCAGATTTTGGCTATGAGCCCAAGACGAAATCTTGCGAGAAGAAGCCTACGTCCAGTTCTAAGAGTACGGGTCCGGCAATGACGACGATTTCTACAGTGTTGGTTGTACCGATTGCTTCTGTGAATACTACTGCTACGGCGACTGCCTCTTCTTCGGCAAGCAGTGCCGCCTTACAATCGACTTCGTTGCCTGCCATGAAGACGAGAACGAGCATAATCTGGCTGCCACCAACGACCTCTACCTGATGGGCCCAGAAGCGAGTGGGGACTTCTTCTGGCGGAAGTGCGAATTCAGATTCAGTTTCAAGTCACAGACCTTGCCGGCACAGAGAGCACTCGGTCATCCATATATTGTCATGTAACCATACAAGCTAATTTACAAGCCGTCATTCCTGGGCACATTAATTTCCAAAGCTCAGCTTTTCATCGCTCTCCTCTCAAATCCGTCTCCAATCCTAAACCGCATGCGCCGGCATGGGGCAAGGCACTAACTCCTCCCCACTATCACTAGGCCTCGTCGGCGCCCTAGATATCGTACTCTTCCGCTTCGCCTCCTCCTTCTGCTCCATAGTAGTCGTGACCTGGATGCCATTGGTAGGCGGCATCAACCGCTTCTCATCCCGATGCGACTCCATTTCTTCTCCTTCAGCTTCAATCGCCGTCACCATAACACCATACTTCTTCCCAAGCAACGAAGCGCCTCCTTGTGATTTACTCCGAAACGCGCGGGCACTTCCAATTGTCTGCAAAGACCGACCTCGAAGCTCGTAGGAGCCGTCCGCGCCGCCACCAGATCCGATACCGCTGCCGAATGTCGCGAACATTTTGGGAAAACAGCGACCAACGAGGCCTTTGAGTACGGGCAAAGAGCAAGCAATGAGGCCGATGTTGATTTCCATTGTTGCCCAAAGTGCTGCGAGAGGGTTGTCGTAGCTGGGGTCGGTGGATTTGGCGATTGCATATAGTGCGTGGAAGCGAATGAGGGAGATGACACAGACGATGCCTCCCAGGGCAAAGACACAGCTGAGCAAGATTCGCTGCCTTCGCGGGAGTTGTAGGCTTCTGACCACGGTCACGGGAAGGATGGCCGTCACGATGTCGGTGATGATGCTGAAGATCGCGATGAAGAACCTGGTACAGTGTTACCATCAGCTCAGCTGCTTTTGTAACTCGCTTGAATGTCCAGCGAGCCTTACCAGATTGCTAGCTTGTTCAGACACTTGCCAGGTCGTTTTGGATACCAGAAATGATTGACTGGCCGACACAGAAACAGGCTGATAAAGATACTACAAGTCGTGAAGATCGCCAGGAGTACAATCATGAAGATACTCGCTTTTCGGAACCAATCTATGTGACCAAAGACGCGCAAGCACTGGTACACGATCGATAACTTGATGATGCCGAGCGACCCCATATATGCCGGTATCGAGACGTAAAACCAGATCAAAGAATGCACAAGCTCGTTTGGTGTCAGAGAGTCCATGTGTCTTCCCATGCCGTATCTTACTGCACATACTCAGTCATGGCTTTACGTGCAGCGCTCGATAAAGATCTCACTGACCTTGCATGCACATGCACGCGTTGACCAAGATGTTTAGGCAAGCAGCCACTGCGGCGAGGGCATCGTCAATACCAGCTTGCCTTGAAATGCGTAGGCGTGTCCAGAGCCGAAGGATACAGCATAAAACCGCAATGACCGTGAACAACGTGACCACAATCACAACATTTTCGCCGGAAGTGTGTCCGCTGTAGCCCATGATGGCGGTGTCTCAGCTATCTCGTACTGATGACAGGCGCATGAAGTGAATGAAGAAGGAAATGGGAGTCGCAAAACCAGATGTCAGCATCGCTTTGGGCATTTGCACCATTATTGCTCACAAGAGCTGTGACCTACACCCACGTCTCCTACCGCATCCAGGACCACTCAATGCGCGCAGACCCGTGATCCTGAAGAGTAATGTCCTTATCGCAAGGGGCTGTGGGTGAAGTACAGGATGGAGCTGCGCCCGCAATCCATTCGCAGTTGTTTGACAGGCCTGTGACCGCGATCTTCCTTGTAGATGCTGAACGTTCTTGACGAGCCTGGTGAGCACTCCCCAGATTTCGCACATTCGGAACACCGACCGTCTGGTTACGTCTGGAGATTTCGTGCACACGATACCGGCCATCCGTGCATTGTTGGGCGTTGACCTAACTATAAGGCTCTCGCCATCGCGCTTCCGAGGCCGCTCAGGTAGGGGAAGAAGTCTACAACCTCGCGTTCCCGAGATGTGTCGATAAAGTGCAAGGTCTGAACCTTTCTTCGCAGAATTTGACAAAGCTGTACACTCCTTTTTCATGATGGCCCCACGAAGACTCTTTTCGGATACGTTTTGTACGGACGTAACGGAAGAACATCTGTGGTCTTGTTCTTCTTGGCAGGTAATTGATCTGTGGTTCCTGGATTTAGGTGTACAAAGTCACTGGCGCCGTAGTTTAGGCAGCTTATAACCCAAGCCATGTCCGTCGCTTCTGTCTGCGAACGCAATCGGTCAACAGATCGATCGTGATGTCAGCGACAAGCTCACAAAGACCTACCGAAACACTTGCAAGCCAGTCTTTCAACCTCCCCCTTCCAATGAAGAATGTGGGCCTCAGCTGACCGCCACGATGGCGTCTACCCTCGCACCACAGCAGGTCGAAGCAGCGGATCATGGGATTTGGCACACTATGTCCGAACATAGTGTGTGTGATAGGATACCAAAGGCCAGCCATCGATACCTCTACGGTGCGAAGACTGGGATACGAAGCAAACAGTTCTGGCCCAACGGTGCCCAAGAAAGCTTTGAGGAGAGGTACGAAGTCAGGAAAACGCGCATTCGTCGCCCACCATTGGCAATTGACCTCTTCCATAAGCGGCGTTCGTAGACGAACAACAGTGACACAGCGCAGGAACCGTGCATCGATACGATCAAAAGACCACACTCGGAGCCTTTTACTTGTGGCAGCCAGGGCAAGAGGGGGAGCGATCGTGGCATCGAGCGAGAAAGGCTTGGGATGGGTACCTTTCCAGACTCGGACACCGTACCGGGCAGAATGTCGGAGTTTGAGGGTGGCCGTGGCGAACAGCACATCGATTTCTAATGCAACAGTGCTCTGCGTTGCTCGCAGTTCTTCGCACAGCTCTGCAGAGAATTGCTCTGATACGCGAAGAAGTCGTTCAAAGGACGGACCAGGGATGCGCTGTCGCATGCGCAATGGATGGTCGTCTAGGCCTGTGCCGGCGAGACAATATGGTACATGCCATAGCTTTCCAAGGTCGCCATCGGGGTTGTTGTGGCGGTATCGAGCTAGAATATGGTGGTAGACGAAATCTCGTAGTTCTCGCGGAAGGTCGAAGAAGCCAATTCCAGCAGCAGTGGCCATTGCCTGTCAGTTGCTTGTATTGTGGTCGCCGTCATACTAATCGAGCCCCGCAAGAGTATTTGTTCTCATGGTCCTTGACACATAACGGGCATCCATGCCACTTCCACCGCTGGACGCCTGATTGCCGGGCAGCATAGCCTCATCGTGCTTAACGGCCGGCCGTTCCTGGCGCTGAATTTCTGACGCTGGAGACCATCTTGGCTTGTTGAACTCTCGCTGTGCCGCTCTCTTGTCGATATGCGTTGATGTGCCGTGGCTCGAGATGGGTCGTTGTGCGAAAGACCGATGTTCTTACGCGTCCTCGCCTGCCTCGGCGGGTCGGCAGCGCGACGACTTTGCCTATCACGGCTCGCGAGTGCATCGCGTCATGCATGAGCTCTCGCACTCAATCCAGCAACCATGACAAAGCATCATCTGTAGTCACCAAGTTCCGGTAAGCCATTGACTCCCGTACACAGACATTGACAAATTCTCCATGATGGGCGGAGGACCAGCCAAGGACACGCTCCTCGCAGTGCTTCCCTTTCCCGAGCCCAAGGACATCACACAGCACTTGACCCAAAAGTTCCCAGGTCTCGATATCAATTGGATCGAGGTGACCTTCAGCAACGATACCCAAGAACTCAAAAAACGCGTTCCAAAGGAGCTTTGGCACTCTGCCACCATCCTCATCACGTTCAATGTCATCCCGGAGCCAGACGAAGTGCCAAACCTCGAACTGATTCATCTGGTCTCTGCTGGAAGTAATCAGGTGCAGAACACGGATATCTACAAAGACACAAAAATCACAATCACCACGAGCAGCGGCATCCACGGGCCGCAGATCGCAGAATGGGTGTGGTTGACTGCGTTGGTACACAGCCATAGCTACAACCAGCTATACGAGCTGCAAAAGAAGCGGGTATGGGGCAGCAAAGGAGCTGAATACAACAATGTCCGAGATTGGGTCGGTCAACGGATAGGGGTCCTCGGATATGGCTCGATTGGCAGACAAGTGGGCAAAGTAGCGAAAGCAATGGGTATGGAAGTCGTGGCTTTTACTGCTACGCCCAAGGACACTCCTGAGAAGAAGAAGGACCATGGCTTCATCGTCCCTGGCACAGGAGATCCAGAAGGTGAGGTGCCAGTCGAGTGGTTCTCTGGTCTCGAGAAGGAGAACCTGCACAACTTTCTCAAGCAGGATCTCGACTGGCTTGTCATCTCGGTACCATTGACTGAGCAGACGCGACATTTCCTGAGTAAGGAAGAGTTCAAAGTGCTCAGTCAGAATGGCAAGAGGCCGGCCTTTGTCACCAATATTGCTCGTGGGCCGATTATAGACCAGCCGGCGCTCATCGAAGCGCTGAAGGACGGAACATTATCAGGTGCAGCACTTGATGTGACAGATCCAGAACCTTTGCCCGAAGATAGTGAGCTCTGGGGGCTGAAGAACGTGATTGTCACACCACATGTCAGCGGAAATGGTGTTGCATATACCGAGAGGACGTTCAAGGTCCTCGAGCAGAATCTTGAGCACCGCGAACATGGCGAGCCGTTGATCAATGTCGTGAGGAGAAGTAGAGGTTATTAGAAGTTCTAGAATCAAAGAAATCACGATCAAATACCTCGTATGTGGATCTGATGCCAAAAGAAGCACTTTCTTGCTGTACTGTGACCACTATGCCTGTACGTATCTACTGCGGCTCCTCATCCTTAAACTTATCCATCAAACCCTTAACATCAAACCCACAAAGCTCCGCCTTCGCCACAATCGCCCTCGCCTTCCCACTCACCGGCGCATCAATCATCTTCCCATCCAAAGTCCAAGCCCCTCTCCCTTGCTCATCAGCCTTCTTATCACAAATCACAACCCTCACAGCCCATTCCGTCTCCTTCTCCCCCGGACTATAAACCTCCTGCACAGTCGCAACCTGATCCGGATGAATACACTGTTTCCCATTAAACCCGAACCTCTTTCCATTCTCGCTCTCCTCCCGAATCTGCTTCTTCCCCTCTTCCCCTCTGAAAGTCGTAGAAACCAAATCCAGCGCCGAAGGCAAATTATGCGCTCGCGCCGCTGTCACGATCGCGGAGCGGGCGTACAAGAATTCGTGTAAACTTGGTGTTCGCGTGATACTGAGATCCATGGCGAAATCTTCTGCTGCGAAGGTGAGGCCAGAAAGATATGGTGAAGCTTTACAGATATTGTTCAAATCCATGACTGATCGAGCACTTTCCACGAGCGCAACAATCTTGATAGGATCATACGAATCGGATTTCGGATCATGGCGTTCGGGGAGCATTTGTCGCAAAACATCCGTGACGAAATGTAAATCCTTGGGAGCATCGACTTTCGGCACGACAAGACAATCGAGATGTTTGCCTTTGAGGATTGTGGTCAGATCATCCAACGCGTAGCCTGAGTCAACAGCATTGATGCGCACAGCTTGTTCACGGATCCCAGGTGCTCGGTCGCGATTGAGGATTTCGAGGACATTTTGCCGGCCTTCGGGTTTCTTGTTGGGTGTTACGCTGTCTTCGAGATCGTATGCGATGCTGTCTACTGCTGCGATACCGCGAGACTTTTCGAGGAAGCGCATTGACGAGCCAGGTACTAAGTTGGCTTGTTAGCTGAATTCTGCTTGATAAGAATGGATGTTTGGAGCTTCATGGCTCAAGCAATGGCAGGTACATGACATACCATAGAGCTGTGCTCGTCGGATGACCTGCTTGGCTGTACTCGCGGCCGCCATTTTGAAACAGTGTAGTTGCAATCCGGAACGCCTCTGTAAGCTACGTACAATTCTTGATGTCGCTGATGGTCGTTGGAAAGAGCTCTTGCAGGCTGGCGTCCAGATTGTGCATTGAGGTTCGTAGTTCGAAGTATGTCGTCAGGCTATAGCCGAGGACCGCTGAGACGAAGTGCTTATTTCCGGCCATCTTCAAGCACACCCTCGAATCACTACGATGAACCCCAACAATGTGGAAAAACGTGAGGCAGCGTTGAGCAATACAGATATCATATCTCGCTAACTCTTTCGTTTGGGCGCTGCAGCGCTCCAAGACGCCGATCCTATCAAACTCAGAGCAATACTACAATTCATTGACGCTCTTCACTTGCGCCATTGGGCCAACAGCTGAGCAACTCATCCAGAGCTCTATACTCCCAAAGCTCCACGCCTGCCTGACGCCGCCGCACTCCATTCACTTATCGCACAATGTGTAGTCCAAGCACCTCAAGATGAGGCTGCTGCTGTCTCGTCGAGCTTGACAGCCTCGACCTTCTCCTCAATCTGTCCAGCATTTGAGTCCGCTGCCTTTTCTGTCTCCGTCGTTGGAGCCTTCTCTGACGCTTCAGCATCTTGCATCTCAATTTCTTGACCTTCGGCGGGCTTCGCAGCTCCTTCCTCGGCCTCAGCCTTGGTCGTGCCAGCAGCGGCGATCTCCTTAGTTGCGTCTTCAGCGGCCTTAGGCTCGTCAGCAGGTGTCTCGGCCGCCTCGGTGGGCGGAGGAGCTGCGGCCTCGCTATTAGTCGCGGAAGTCTCTGCTGGTGCGGCGGATTTCTCCTTGTCGCCTGATCCAGTTGGAGCATCTCCATCAGCCTCGAGACGCTTGTTCCAGATCTCCAGCATAGCTGAGCTACGCGTCTTGAAGCTGAACTCATCGTCCTTGGGCACCGAAGCAAGCTTGACAATGGCCTTGAGCACCTTGTGAATCTTGGTGACGCGAATGATCGACGGCTCCAGATTCTCGTAGCCCTCGAGCTGGGTGAAGAATTCGGCCATGCTAGCCATCTCGTCCTCCTTTGGTGCCTGGTCACGCGACAGGAACCCCTTTTGCAAGCGATGGCGCAAGTACAGCACGGCCTTCTCGCGTTGCGCAAGTCGCTCCTCGTCTGTCATCTGCGGCTTTTCCTCTTCGTCACTCTTCGGTGCGCTGACAACTTTCTTTTTCGGCTTGCTCTTCTTCGCTGTAGACGCGTCGCCATTCGGTGTCTTAGGTCCATTAAGCTTCGTCACCTTTGGAGTCTTCTTGGGCTACACAATGGTCAGTCGGGGTACATCTCACGCGTGCGGGCGAAGAGAAGGCTTACCTTGGCATCGGCATCGCTATCGTCGGCCTTCTTTCTCTTCTTGGTAGACTTGGGCGCATCAGCATCTTCCATCTCGATGTCCTCATCCGCAGCCTTGCTCTTGCGTGGTCCCTTCTTCTTCTTCTCTTTGGGCGCTGCCTCGTCGTTCTCTGCCGCTTCAGCTCTCGCTGCAGCCTCTGCCGCACGGCGCTCCTCGTCTTCGGCTTGTTGCTGTAAGATTCTCTCCATGTCTTGCTGGTGCTGTCTCAGTAGGTCCTTGAAATAGTCAATGTCGTGCCCCTCAGCTGCGACCTTGTAAGCTTCTGCCAGAGCCTTGGTCATCTTCGCTTTGGGAAGGGTGTTGCACTCGTCAGGATCCAGCGGCGTCAGCGAGGTGTTGACCATCCATTGGCTATCAGGTACACGTCAGCAAAGCCTCTTCTTGCGAGATCGCCCGCACTTTGGACTTACAACTCATTCGTGTGCAAAAACATGATTGGGAAGGTGCGCTCCTTGGCGTTCTTTCCGCCCTCCTTGAAATCGTCGCGCAGAGAGCCGTCGGGACGTGCTGTGCTCACAGGGCGAGTGGCCAGAAGCGACTCGGGAAGCATCTCCTCGTCACAGACAATCGCTGGCCATGGAGGATAACCCTTGAGACGCGCCCAGTAGTACTCGCCTGGCTTGCATTCGAGTCGAAGCGTGGGCATGGACTTCTTCTTGCCGAGCTTCTTGTTCTTGTGCTCAGGCACGCCTCCGACTGGCTTCTTCTTCTTGTCCTTTGGCGTTCCGTCGCTCGCAGGCTCTGCTGACGCCGAGCTGGCCTCTGCCGCCTTCTCGCCGTCGGCGGTGGGCTCGTGTGATTTGACATCTTCGACAGGTGCCCCCGATTCCTCCTTCTTCGCCTCTGATGCTGCTGTATCGCCATTGGTCTGCGTCGTCGTGGGCGCGGGCTCAGACGAGTCGGCAGTAATAGTGGCAGGCTGGGGAGGTCTCAGCAACGGTGAGACGTTTCTTGGGCCAGCGGCGACACGACTTACTGCTTGCGCACTCACGGGCGACGTGGCAGGCCCCTCGTCTGCCATCTCGACAAAAGTTTTCTCGCAACAGTGCGTGGGTCCTGGCACTAGCAGGCTTTGCGACGCGATGGTCGGGCTATCGGAACGCGTGTGAAGGGCGGGTCGCGTTGCAAACGGTGCCGGGCGGGTGAGAATGCGAGTGGGATACGGCGGCAGATGCTGAGGCGATACGGCAGAGACGCGTTGGGGTGGTGGTGATGATGTTGTTGGTGGTGTCGGGACGAAATCTGAGAGGAAGAGGAACGAGCGACTTTGAGCGTTCGTTCGCGGGCGTCCGTGCGTGGAAGAAACGTCACAAATCTGGCGCAGAAATGTGAAATCGGCGACAACGCGCGCGCGGAAAACGCGCAAATTCGCACTCGCTGCGTGCAATGCTTTCTTCGATACTCGTCGTCTATATGCGAGCGCGACCTGCGCTGTTTTGCCTTGTTGTCGTCGTGGTCCAGGACTGCGAGAGTCTGGCTTGGCGCGTACCTTCCCCAGCTGCCGGCGAATCAGCTAGCACAATGCCGCCTCAACCGGTGATTGCTTCTTTGTCTGCAGTCCAGGGGCCTGATTGCTGTCTTGCTCGATGTGTCGCAGCGCGGAAGCGCGCCTGCGTTCGCTCTCTTCGCGAGTGAATAGTTCGTCCACACGCTCAGGCACCGTCGTGATCGTGGTGGCCACCGAGACTCCAGGTGGCGTCACTGCATCCAAGGTCCAGCTGACGCAAGCAAATCTTCTGCCGAGCTCTGTGTCGACACCCCGCTTGAGGTCCAGAGGCAGATTCCGACAATGCCTTGACGAGAATGCCAACGCCTTGGTCGATCGCATCGCATCGCATTGAAGAGCGGGCATAATATTGGGTGTGGTCTTGGTGAGAACGTGCCGATATGACACGACTGCGCCTGATCTTGCATAGCATCAATCGGCTCAGCTTGGGCTTGAACACAGTGCTTATATAGTCTGCGCGATAGTTTAGCAATTGCGATTGTGGGCAAGTGATTGCACGTACGTTTTCGTGCGTCGAGAAGTGCTTGCCACGCCATGCGAGCCTACTGATCGCTCGAGTAGCTTCATCCGTTTTCGTGCGCTTGTTCGCATATGTGACTAGGACAATCTTGCAAAAGCTGCTTGTTGCGAGATGCCTGTCGCCAGTAAGTTCTAGAGAAAGTAGTGGCCCTTTGGCATCTTTCTGGGCACGACGAACGTAAGTCGAATTTAAGAGAAAGTGCAAGAGCTCCTACCACGTTGAAGTTATGGCATGCTACTTACGATGCGAGTCGCTCAATCGACAATTGGGATCCTAAGACGCGGGCTAGTGCAAGCTGTTGTTGCTGTCAGAGGTGTCGCCAGCATTGTGTGCTCAGTAACAGGACATGGCCCATGTCCGGGTCTGGGAAACACGCTGCGCATCTTTCGAGATCGCTTCTGGAGTTCGATAGCACTAGACAGCTCGGATCCAGGGTATGATGTGCGGTGGCTGTGGCACGGAGGCGCCCTTTGACCTGGCCGTCACCACTGTAGTTTGTGCGAGCCAACTTGCTGAGCATCGCCATGCACGTTGATGCGGCATTAGATCAAAGGCTTTTGCTAATGGCAGCAGAGGTGAGGCTCCATATCATCTAGTCAGATAGCCTGGTTGCACGTGTGCACCTCACTTTCTCTTTTCATCCCATGCGGCTCTTTCGTGCCCAGCATATCTGCCTCTGCTGCTTCCTGCATGGAATCATGTCCAGTTTTTGCAATTCTGCGGTGCGTCGGGTAGGTTGATCGCAACGTAGCCATTCAAACATCGGAGATCAGTCATGACTGGGGTACACGGAAATGGAGATGCGACCGTGAGGGTGAGTGGCTGCACTGCAACGGCGCAGCACGCGTCCCATCGTAGAATTGTCGGCTAAATCGCTGTCATCGGAGTGGAGGGAGTCGAAGTGGGCGATTGATGAGGTGAGGCGCTTGCTCGTCGTGGTCGGTGAGCACGCAGGACAGGACTCGTCGTTGTATGGAAGCAGTCACAGTCAGTGCCCGTGCCGTGACGCCCTTTGCCAAGCCTCGCTGGAACTCGCTACGTGCACTTCGCTCACGGCGGCAACCGCCACTGCGCTGTTCGACATCACCAGCATCACATGTGCCCCGTGAGCTGCAAATTACACAATGTCAAAAGACAACTCAGAAGTCCAACGTCAATTCAGAGCACCGAAAGCGACGGATCCAAGTATCGCCGGCGGATTTCAATCAATCTTGGCAGGCCCTGTCTTCTGTTCGTCGACGGCTGGCTGACTAGCTACTTTACAGACATCCATAGCCACGGATGTGCGAGCATACTCTGATTTGTGAACATCCTCAGCAACCATCGTCAACATGCAGCTACATGAGCGGCAGAAGAAGGAAAATGATGTGGCTTCCTGGTCACCAGCAAGTGGCAGCAACAAAAACCGCCTGGGCCTCTGCACGATCATAGCAAAGGCCTCCGAATTTGGGTACGCCACAGCAGTCATCGCTGTTTGCGTTCATGTCCTCGGTCTACTCACTCGCTGCAGAGTCTTGTACAACATGCCCCCACTTGGTCAAGCACGAAATGCTGCAGCTACCCGGCCTTGAGCACTGGGTCCTGTTTCCCAAGCAGAACGGCTCTCCGAGAATTCATCAGCAGCAGTGCATCACCCATTGAGATGTCGACCACGCACGTGATCTTTGCTGCGTTTGCCCGAAACGATCGCAGCTTGCGCTGATCTTATGCATTGGCCACCTCTACTCCTGCGAGATGTCGATCTTCGAGGTGGGAGACGTCCTCAATTGGCTGTCGTACAAAACAGAGTGTGTTGAGCTCCGTAAGTGGTACGCGGAAGTCGAGCACCCGCTCGCATCGTTGCGATCCGTTGGCAACGCCATGGTAATTGATCCTGCGCGTGTCCCTCACGAAGCTCGTGCTGCTGTGAGACACTATTTTCCTTGCCCTTCGCCCTTCACAACTGTAAATCAAGGCCCACAGTGGAGTGACAGGTGCTTGCACTTTTCCAATTTCTCCTACTGGCCGTCCCACTTATCGTTAGCCTGGGCAACAGTCTTGTTTCTGACATTTTGGTGGTACAATGGGACTCGAACAGATGGACGGGCCTTATGGCTATGATGCTCGGCCGTCTGATGCCCGGTCTGCCTATGCGAATTCAGCCTATGCAACTCCACTGACCGAAGATATGCCTGATCTGGGTGATATACCTGCTATGCCTGCTTTGCCCCCAAATGGATTCCCGAAGCCCACCAATGGACTAGAGAAGCCCGCGAATGGAGATTCGAAGCCTGTCGAGCACATCAAGATACCACGAGAAATAAGAGCTGTGAAGGATGCGGAGTCGTACGAACCGACAGGAAAGAATATTGTCATATGCCTTGATGGCACAGGTGATCAGGTAATCGAGGAAGGCGCACGTCGTCTCGCTCCACCACTGACATGGCATTAGTTCGACGCCGATAACAGCAACATCGTCCACTTTGTGAGCTGTCTGAAAAAGGCAGTCCCGGAGCAGGTCACATACTATCAATCTGGTATCGGCACGTATGATGGCGGTGGTGTCACCAATGGCATCAACGCAGGTCTCGACATGGCTGTTGGCTCTGGCCTGGGTGTGCACATTCGAGATGCCTACATGTTCATCCAAGCACATTACAAACAGGGTGACAAGATCTGCCTGCTCGGTTTCTCCCGTGGTGCATATACCGCTCGATGCTTGGCTGGTATGATCCACAAAGTTGGTCTGCTTCCGGCCGGCAATGTATCTCAAGTGGTGCGACCAGATTCTCGAACCAAATGACCACCCTGCTAACAACTCCAAGCCGTTCGCATACAAATACTACAAGGATGACACAGACGAAGGTTGGGCGATGAGCCAGGAATTTCGGAAAACGTTCTGCATTCCCGTAAATGTCTACTTCGTCGGAGTGTTCGACAGCGTAGCATCCGTTGGCTTCTTCCCACGCAAACTGCCACTCAGCAGCACACCCACGCACCGAGCACAATACTTCCGTCATGCAATGGCGCTTGACGAGCATCGAGCCAAGTTCAAGGCATGTCGCTACAAGGTGAAAGACAGCATGGGCGAGAAATACACAGTATCTGCCGAGGAGGATATCGTGGACACCGACGCCCGCGAGGTGTGGTTCACAGGATGCCATGCAGACGTTGGCGGTGGGGCAGTCAAGAACGAAGTGAGACATAAGCTGGCACAGATCCCACTCCGCTGGATGATTCGGCAATGCTTCGAATGCGACACCGGCATCATCTTCAAGACGCCGATGCTAGCAAACGAGGGTCTCGACATTCATACCCTGTGGCCGAGATACGAGCCCCTCTCCATCCCAGCTGGTCCGCCGCCCCCAGACATGCTCGATCGCTACCACAAAGGTCTCCTTGGCCCCATCCATCGCCGATCCTCCCTCCTCGAACCCGTCGACCACAACGACGAATACGGAATGCATCATCTCAAGATCTACAAAGAAACCGACTCAGAAAAGCCCTCGGCAGACTTACACGAACATTGGACACCCGAGCAAGTCGAAGATTACTTTGATGCTCTACAAAAAGTCAACGATCAACTTGTCGATGCCAAAGGCTGGTGGATTCTCGAACTCTGGCCTATCAAAATCCGCCATCAAGCAAAGGACTCAGACAACTGGGTGAAAAAGGTTGGATTGAATCTGGGAACATATCGTGCAGTGCAGGATAAGGCTCCAAATCTTCACTGGACTGTCAAGCACAGGACAGATCAAATGGAATACCGCGTGAGGACGAGAATGGACAGGAATGCTGAGTGGAGGGTAGTGGTTTAAGGACTGCACCTTTCGGTGGGAGCTGTGAGGCAAGCAAGGGAGAGGAAATCGACCAGGAGATGTGTAAGCTAGTAATACCCCAGACTGATGATGATTTCATATGTGTCTGATATTTTGTACAAAGCATCTATTGACCTTCTTGCCCGCTTTCTTGATTTCAAAGCCACCCGGGACGTTCCAGCTACTCTGCGTCTGGAAAATCGATCACAGCCTTCACCAACTCATGCCTCTCAAACCTCCGATATACCTCAGGAGCCTCCTCAATCGAAATAACATCGCTCACAATCAAGCCAGGGCTCGCCCTGCCGCTCAAAATCAACTGTCTCAAAGCTGGCGCCAACGCAATCGGATCCGAAGGACCCGCTTGCCATTTCAGCTCATTGGTAAAGAAGTCCGCCAACGACAACTGCACATTTTCTTGAATGCTCTCCGCTCTTGGCGCGTATTCAGAGCTATTGGCGGCGCTGTTGTAGACTCCAACAGTTCCAAGGCCTCCGCCGATGGATGTAACGCGCAACTGATTCTGCGCGATGATATCTGCTTGGACAGTGAGGTTGCGATTGACTTGTTCGAAGCCGACGGCGTCGATGCTCCGCGTCACGCCATTGGGTTCACGGGCGAGAATCTGTTCGACAGGGTCCGAGTCGAGAAAGTTGATCGGGATTGCACCAATGGATTCGGCAATTTGGAGGCGTTCTTCGATGTAGTCAACGATGTAAATTTGCGAGGCACCGCGAAGGACGGCGGAGTATGCAGCCTGGAGCCCAACGGGTCCGGCGCCGAAGATGGCTACGGTGTCGCCTGTTTGAAAGCCGGCGTAGTCGAGAGCTGCCCAACCTGTGGGGAAGATGTCGGAAAGCATGGTGTAGTCATTCAAGAGGGAGACCGTCTCATTCGTTCGTGAATCGGTACGTTCGAATGATGGGACTGGGATGAGACCCGCGTCCGCATTGGGAATGCGGATATATTCAGCTGATTAACAGTCAGTGCTCTGATCACCTCGACGACTTCTCAACAAGTAAAACCATACCTTGAGTGCCTCCAAGCTCTGGACCATTGCCATAAGAGCCATAGAAGGGCGTCGTCAACTCGGTACGCAAATGTCCTTCAGCAAGCTCAAACGGAATGACTACCGGGTCGCCCACGCTCAACGAGCCCACAGCATCTCCCACTTCCGAGATGTAGCCGACACCTTCGTGTCCAAGGACGTAAGCTGCTTCAGGTCCAGGCTGGGTGCCGCGATAGATGTGCAAGTCTGAGCCGCAAATTCCAGCCCGCCTGAGTCGGACGATGGCGTCGGTCTGGTTGACGATCGTTGGACGAGGGACATCCAGAACGCTCACATTGTAAGCATTGCCTTGCCACACGACTGCTCGCATGGTCGCATTGAGCGCGGAGGTGAAGTTGGATAACGCCATAGTGTGAAGTGTCGTTCGATGAAATGTTGGTCAAGGAAGCAGTGGTTGATGGACAACATGTCTTGGGGCGTTCTCTTCATGCTCTTATACATCTTCTCCTGTGGATCATCGCACTGCCTGCGGTATCATCTCTGCGACGCGTCGTCATCGAGCTCTAGCGGAGTTTGGAGATAACACTCCCTTGCTGGACCCAGTTGTCGTGGAGGCGTAATGAGTTACAATCCATATAGCCGTCGAGCTTGATGCCAAGGCAGATGTAGCGAATCACCTCGGATAGAGAGAACCCCCGGCACGAGAAAGCAGTCGCACAGGTCCACAGGCATAACAAATCCAGACAAGTGAGATCGTTCAAGCAGCATAGCATACGTGAAAGCTCCGTCATGCCAAGGTGTATGCTTGGCAATCATTGATGTATGCCGCACGAAAGTCCGCGTGCGGCCGCATCTTTCTTGCTGTTTCGACCGCTCCTGGGGACGCGTATGTTGCATTCGTCTCCCAAGGTACGTCTCCATGAGGCGGGAATTCTGCCATCGATAGGTCTGTTTGTCTCAACGTTGGGCTTATCTCCGGATGTGCTCTTTGGACATGCCGTGAGCAATTGTCCATTCGCGAGAAACCTTGCTCATGATATCTGCACGTGCGGACGGGGCATTTATGTGATTTTGAGTTCGAATGAGTCAATCTGTGTCGACGCAGGTCTTTGGGAAATGCAAATGTTTTACTGCATGAACAGCATGAGTACGGCCGTAATCGTCGACGATGTCTAACAAGGACTTAGTACGGCTTGAGAGCTGCAGTGTGGACAACTTACTTGACAACCGGGACGTCGATACTGCTGGGACTGGTCGAAGATATTGAGTTTGGTGTCGTTGCCTTGAGCTCCTGTTGACTGATTGGGTTGGCGAGCAACACATCCCCAGGCCAATTGCCCGCCAAAGCATCGAACGCTAGAGATGGATGACTGGTTTGAAGTGTTGCATGGAAATCGTCAGTAGCAGCGGCAACCCAGCCCGCTCCACAACACGCGCTCGCCGGCCAGTCCAGGAGACAATCACAAGACTCTAGGCATGGAGTAATTGGTCCCTTCATGTTGCAAGGCGGCATGACCTGATCGACGAGTGTTGTTGCGAAGTCCTCATCGCGGAATGAGAATGTATGATCAAAGCATTGAGACCAATCGAGCATGAGGTCAGGCTCCCAAAATTTGCTGTCGTTCTCGACGAAAGTCATGTTGCTTTTCTTGTCGATCGCTCTGTACTTGAACGTGAGGGCCTCTCGAGAAACGTTCCATCTTCTTATACTCTCCCAGCGTCCGGTCACACCTCATCTCGTCCACCGGCCTCAAGGCAACCCTCGTCACAAAAGAGACACCGACGCCAGAAAATCTCGACGATAGTATGACCGACGTGGATCTCGCAACATCCTCGCGACATGCACCCTGCAGCTCTCCAGAACTCCGAAATGCCAGATCTCCCACGCGCATCGGCACATGGCACATCCTTCTCTGACGTTGGAACGAATAGGAAGAAAAGGCCCAGGCGGTCCGTGAAGCACAACACATTCGGCACATGTTTGCCAGCGCCAGTGAGCCACGGTTTCCACCCGGGCCACGATCCGCTCCACGTTGTGCCACACTGCTTCCCACAAGTGCCACCAGTGCCGTCATTGGAGATCTTTCAAGCTCTTCGGGGATGTCGTCTGCCGCTCCAGGCGAGTGTTCCAGCCGAGAAGGAGGAGGAACCCGTCTGCAGTAGCCCGCTCATGCGCAGGAATTCCAAGTGCTCGGAAAGAGAAGGTAGTGACCAGGTTCACGCGAGCTTCCAGGCGAGACGGAGGCAGTTCATCGTCTGCAGCAGTCCGCTCACGCGTATGGTTTCCAGGTATCCGGTAGGAAGGCGAGCGTTCCAGCCGAAGGGCAGCCTGCAGTAGGCCGCTCAAGCAGCTATATTTCGAGTCCAGGTGCACGGCAAGAACACAGTGATAAGCGCCAGACGCGGTCGTTCCGATCGCCCCGAAGGTTCCCCAGCTGCTGTACTCCTCGGGGAACATAGGCAAGGGGTAACACAGCATAGCACAGCCGCGCGCAGCAGATTTCCAGAAGGCGCAGAAGGCACAGCCACAACAGCGGCTTGCAATCCGACTCGCATCTCACTTGCCATGCCACGAAACCTGCAAAGTCGGTGAAGAGTGAGAGGGCGGCTTGGAGATGATAGAGTAATACAAGTCATAAAATACTCAGACGTCAGTCAACGTCCGTAATTACAAAACCAGTAAAACAAAAAGAGGACGCCTACACCTCACCACTATCCAACCACACCTCATCATTTCCAAATCTTCCATCCGGCTTTCCTCTTACTATCACTTCTTCCAAAGTCGACTTCGTTTGGCCGACCCTGATCCAAGCTCTGTCTTCCAGCTCCAACGCCAAAGAATCGTTCCGCCTTGCTTCCTGAACGTTGCGGGAGTCGGTCTCGTCCCATGTGCTCTTCTTCAAAATCCTCACTGCCAGTCAAGCTACCAGTACTATCGTAGCCGTGATGGGTACCATCATATCTGCCCTGACTCTTTTGCCCAGGCGGCGAACGGCCGTAGGGTCCTCGATTACCCTGTGCAGCGGTGATAGGAGCTGATCCAGGCGCAGCTGTCCGCCGGTAACCGGATTGTGGGTAGGCAGTGCTGTCGGTATATTGTTGGTTCTGCGAACCAATGGGTGGTCCTGAGAGGTTGTAACCGTTCTGATATGGATCGACACCACGTTGCGGACTTGCAGACGGAAGTCTTGGCGTGTGATTCATGAGTTGACCAGCACTGCCGTATCCGTCACTAAGTTGGCGAGTTTGATATGCACCGCGTCCAGTACTGGTCAGACCCATGCCGACAGCCGCATGACTGACGCCCGTGTTCGGGTTCGAGTTGAGAGCAGTGTTCTTCTGAGTTCGGAAGTCTGGACTTGGAGTTCGGCTGCCATCAGTGGTTCCCCGATACTCGCTGTACTCCGTATTATCTTCATGCTCGGCAGTAGCTCCAGCGACAGCATCTTCAGGTCCATCAAGAGCCTCGCGCTTCCTGTTAAGTCGCAGACGTTCCATTAAGCTCCTCCTGTGAGGCTGGAACTTGGCGACATTTGGATCACCAGAGCCTTCGTACCAAAGCGCCGGGACTAAGAGCCTGTACGGGACAGTCGTGCCCGCCGGATTGTGCTGGTCGACTTCCATGCATAGCGAGATGTCCAGCCCGCCTTCAAGATTCACGTGCTCGGCGGCGTCAGCACCGTCGGCGGTACTATCAAGCCCACTCTGATTGTTCTTGCCCACGAAGGAAAATCGCCGCGGAGTTTTTTCTGACAAATTTGTTGGACGACGTTGAAACGAGGGCCTCTCAGGCGGGATGTTCGGATCATGCCTCACATTGCCCGAATATTGGCTGCCGCCTCTGTCGGCTGCCGACATACTCGAAGACCTCTGTATGCTTGATGCCTTGCGATCATCGTCGTTGTACGGCCTTGTATGCTCCAGCGGCAGCGAGACCGGCGGTGGTCCTTTCTTCGATGAGCTGCTTAGTCTCCTAACCAAGGCAGCAGGCCCGCGAGTGAGACTCATTGTGCGCTTCATACTCCCTGGTGGAAATCTTCTATCATTGCCACGGGTTCGCTTGTACTCTCCGCTAGTGCCGTCAAACTGCTGCAGGTTTGCCGACGGACTAGCACGGAGCTTTGGTGACGAGGGCGGCGTTGAGCCTGGCACGTATTCTCTGATCACGCAGAAATTCCTTCTGGGAAGTAGATGATTATTGTTCCTCCTGCTTCCGTCGACATCATGACTGAATACGGGAATCATGTCTTCATCGGTATCGGCATCCAGATGGTGGATCTTGTTCCTCTTATTGAGCACATCTGCCATCATGACCGGGGGTGGCGTGTTGACAATGGCCGATGATATGACGTTGGGAATATATCGGTGGTCCTTGTCCTTGGGAAGACCAAGCTTGCCGTTGCTGAAGAATCGTCCAATAGCGCCCAAATGAACATCCCCACCAAGGATGGTGATACGAACACTCTTCTCTGCAGCCAGCTCTTGTAGTTCTTGTATGAACCAGTTGCGCTCGGCCTTGTGGTGTTTCGCGGTCCAATGATCGTCCAAGTCGTCCAGAATCTCGACGCCCCCATCGAACTTGTTAACGAAGCCCCCAAGCATACCTGTTCGACCAATGGCCTTGATTGGGTCCATGACCTTGCTCGTCAAGATGTTTTCCAGAAAATTGAGTCGAGGATATGCAATGGGTACACCAAGCAGTACGATCAAGTGTTTCGTTTCGCCTTTCACAAGCTCCGCGCGGCACCGGTCGAAGATAGCATCGTACGTTTCCTGGCTCAGGATCTCGTCACGCATGCGTTCTGTGCGGCAGTCGAGTCCCAAGAAAGCGACGTGGCGGCCAAGACTCATAAACAAGCTCCGTGACCTCTCATTGATATACGGTCCTGGTGAGCGTCCAAGTAGCCAACTGGGCTCCTCCTTCTCTGTCTCAGCAGCAACACTCTGATGTTGAAATAGCATGTAATACTTGTAGGCCACCGCACCCAGGCCTGTGAAGATCCGCGTGCTCATGAAGTGATGTGGATAACTGCCATACCCATCAATGATGTCGTGATCGTCCCACATGTTGACCATCGGTATTTGAGAATTCGCCATGCTGAACAAACCTTGACTAAACCACATGGAGTAACGATGCAGGTAGAACTCCTCGAGCTCTTCCTGCATCTCAATGCTGAAATCAGCCTCATGCTTGTACTGCGGATTCTTGGTCTGGAGCCATTCCCTAAACAGCTCCGTATCCCGCATTGCAGCATCGTTGTAAATCTGATCGCCTCCTCCAATCATGACATGGAATGGTCGAGCCTGGTGACGATTCAAGACATCTCGCCAGAGCGGATCTGGGCCGGAGAAGGTGTTGCTATCGACAGACATGGAGAAGCCGTTGCAAGAGTGGAACATGATGTTCATCGATTCACCCCGTGCAGGCACCCAAAACCCGATGGCAGGTCCTTTGTTGATTCGATACGCTACGCGGGTTTGCTGACTTGCGAGCTCGATTTCGATGCTGAAGCGCCAGAACGTGAAGCCGCGCTCGCTGTGCAAACGTACAGCCTTCGTCTCGCGATACTTGCTCGCCCGCTCGCCGTCGCGTTTCTTAATTCGCGATTTATCCTGAAACGTGATATGCTGGGTCGGTCGACCGTCTGATCCCATCGTGGCCTGTGGCCCAAGCACGGGGGTACGTTGCGCTGAGAAGAGTCCTGAATTATTCTCCTCGCGAGACAGATCGACGTCGCCTTCGATGTCATGTACTGGCCGTACGTAGAGTGCTCGGCCTGTACGAGAGAGCTTGACTTGTCCGGCGACCGGATCCTCATACTCGGGTGGGAGCTCATGGCCACTTTCAAGGAGGTGCTGCGGCGGAGGCGTGTGTAAGTCCATCGGCTGAGCGAACAGGCGCAGGACAGGAGTCCGGGCCAGGTCGGACTGATCGTCTTCAGTGACAATCATGACGGTGCCCTTCCACACTTCTCGTTGCGAGACCACGTTGGTGCGCTGATTGCGGACAGTCTGCTGCCGTATGCCAGTGTAGCGCAGAAGCGGGCCACATTTCAGGAACAGTCGAGGCTGAAAGCCGTTCGCTTTCTCTTCATACGGTCCATCAAGCTGTGCCATGTCAGGGATCGGCTTAGAGCCGCCAGAGCTTGATCTTTTGTGGCTCTTCTCCCACCACGGAGCATTGCTGTCCTCTTGACCCACGTTCGCAACTGCCTTTTCGAACTCGATGTCGTCTGCTGTCAGTACGGCTGGTTTCGCGTTCCGCCAATCCTCCAAAGGCTTGGCTGTTGGTTGATAGCTACGACGCTGGTCGTGATCGTGGTGGAAGAATCCTCGGATGGCATGATGCTGCTTTTCGTGGGTTGCCGCTGCGTCTGTTGAAAACCCGACTTGCTGTCTCGCCTGCTGCGCGTTCGCAGTTTGAGGTGGTTGGGCATACCGCACACCATCCTCGGGATGCGGATTCACTACCGCTGCTCGAGGCACCGGGTCCGATGGCAGATTTGCTTCCGCAGCTTGACACTCCTTCTTAGTGCCAGAAAGACCGCCCATGCGACCGGTATACAGAGCATCTCGCGTACTGTTGTCAGTTTTGCGACCATCTGGTGATCGTTTCTGTAGCTTCTTGCTGTTGCTTCTGGCAACACTGCATCCGTCCTTGCCACTGCTCGGTGAAAGAGGACTGGCTGGAGACTGCGCGGCTTCACTCTGAATCTGACTCTTGCGTTTCTCGTACGCGACCTTTCCACGCTCAGCGGCGCCTGGCGAGTAGCCTGCGCTCGAAATCGAGGGACCACTCCATGCAGCCGCATCAGCACCTGCGAAGCCGGCGTTCTTGGCACGATACTTGCGACTTTCTGATCGGCCAATATCGGTCGAGCCTCGAGGTGCGGTCGTCGATGCTGGCTGCGGCGGCTGGTCTGGAGCGCGTTCGTAGGTCCTGGACTGGTTGGCGACCTGCGCCACGGGATTCTCTCTCGGGGTTGTAGGGGTTATATTCTCTCTGAGCAAAGAGTCCCTCGCATCTTGAAAACGTCGCACGCCCGCTTCTGCTTGACTTTCCGAGGCATTGCGCGGTCTCTCGCTCTGGCTGGGTCGTCTCCCCGTACTGTCGCTGACCACTCTTGCTTTGTCGTTGCGTATTCTGCCATTTCTGTCAAGTCCTGCCTCCCCTCTGCCGCTCGCAATGCTCTTCTGCCGCGCACGCTCCTCTGCATGCGCAACTCTTGCTCGCTTCTCCTCCTTGCTCCATGTCTCGAGGTTCTGCAACGGACTGCGATCGGGTACGGAGCCTCGTCTCACATGCTCCGAGACGTTGCTGGCGTTGCTGGCTTGTCGCTGCTTGGACGACTGAGTCACATCGACGGTCCTGGGAGACATGAGATCGGGACTCCAGGGCTTCGAGCGCACATTCGTAGGCACATAGTTGGGATCCACCTTCAAGGCAGGCTTCGGCTCGGCATCGGGGTCTGGGAAGGTGGTTCTGAACTCATCGTCTGGGTTGACGACTCTCAGTGGATTGGTGGGTGGTGCGTCGAGCGTGTTGCTGCGCTCCTTCCGTCGCGAATTGGCCCTCGCGGTGCCGGTGGGAGCATTTTGCGGCGGTGCGGTACGGTCTGAGAAGGAGCGTTTGGGATTGCCGGGAGGCACGTAATACTGGTAGGGAGCGTTGCTGGGGAGCTGCTCGAAAACATCGGTCTCGGGATTGCGCGACCAGAGACCGCTCTGTCGGCGTTCGTGAGACATGGCGGTGGTATTGGATCTTCTCGAGCTCTACATGAGTCGCGCGTTCCATGCGGAGCTGTGCTTCTATTGTTAAGTCGAGGGCATCCTTCGAGCGGCAGTCAGCCGCTTCCTGCAGACGCAACGCTGCCGGTCAACGGGTGGCACAAGGCATTGCGATGTACGCGCACGATATGCGATCCAAGGAGAGAGGGCCAAAGGGGAGCAGAGGAGAATGGGGAGGTCGGGCGCTGATGTCGTCGCCCATGTACTGCACCTTATTCGGTGGCTGGACGGCCAACTTCTGCTGCAGCTGCTGCATCTGCATCTGAAGCCATGACGGAGGCGATCCTCGCGCGCGCACGTGTCTGCGCCAGCCGCACATGTCGCGCATGCCCATCCATGCTGCCTGCCTTTGCGCGCTGATGCATTATGTACCGCTGCACCGCGGCCGGAGTATTGCGCAGTCAGCAGCGCGCGAGGTGAGTGGTTTGGTCGATGGCAATTTCGCCGGACTCCTGCTCCACACGCGTGTTTCACCGATCCCTGGGAGCTGCGGAGTGGTGCGCGGGCGCCGAACGACACAAAGAGCGCCCACGCTCAGTCCGGACACATAAACTCTATTGGCTTTCCAGTGCAGCACTGCCAACCGGACACCTCTCCATCTTGCTCAAGCATCTCACCTCATTCGCACTCCTCCCCGTCTGCACTGCCTCCGCCGTTCGTGTCGCGTGTCGGATGGCGACGTGAGACTTGCCTCCTCCACCCCATTCCCCGCCTGCTGCTTCATCCATCACCATGAAGTGGTCGAGTCTCCTTCCCACATTGCTGGCTGCCACAGCTTGCGCAGCAGACGCTCCACGACGGATACGCGATTACGAGACATTCGATTACTATGCAGTACACATTCGGCCTGGGCAGGACCCCGAGACAGCCGCCAGAGAAATCGGCCTCGAGTACGACGGGCCCCTGGGCGAGCTGGACGACCACTACATCTTCCGCACCGCAGACCGGAAACACGATTACGATCACATCACCACACTCAAGGCCGACCTCAAAAGGCGGCGGCGGAAACGAGAAGCTGGCGCCGACGCCCCACATGTCCTCGACTCTGTGCGGCTATCGAAGAAGCAAGAGCTGCACAAACGATTTCCCCTCGAGAAGCGAAATGCCCCTTCGCTAGACTACCTCAACAAGATACTCCGACAGGGCAACTTCGGTGGGGGAGCGCAGTTTGACGAAGCCGCTGTTGCGCAGCAGAATGAGGTGGCCTTGAACTTGAGCATCACCGATCCCATATTCAGAGAGCAATGGCATCTGTTCAACAATATTGAAGTGGGACACGACATCAACGTCACCGGCGTGTGGATGGATGGCGTCACTGGAAATGGCAGCACAGTCTGTATCGTAGACGATGGTCTCGATTTCCACAGCAACGACTTGAAAGACAGCTACTTCGCCGCCGGTAGCTGGGATTACAACGATCCTGGGCCAGATCCCCTCCCCAGACTCTCTGACGATCGACACGGGACAAGATGTGCTGGCGAGATCTCTGCCGTGAAGAACGACGTGTGTGGTGTCGGCGTGGCATACGGCGGACGCGTTGCTGGCGTTCGTATCCTTAGTAAAGTCATCTCCGACGCCGACGAAGCCGAGGCGATGATTTACGCGTACCAGCAAAACCACATCTACTCGTGTTCATGGGGCCCGCCGGATGATGGAACCGCGATGGAGGCGCCTGGCATTCTGATCCGGAGAGCCCTGGTTCAGGGTGTGCAAAAAGGTCGTGGTGGCCTGGGCAGCATTTACGTCTTCGCCATTGGCAATGGAGCCGCCAACGATGATAACTGCAACTTTGACGGCTACACGAATTCCATCTATTCTGTCAGTGTCGGAGGCATCGATCGCAAAGGTCTGCACCCGTACTACAGCGAAAAGTGCTCAGCACAACTGGTCGTGACCTACTCCTCAGGCTCTGGCGATGCCATCCACACTACTGATGTCGGTGCGGACAAGTGCTACGTGAATCACGGTGGCACGTCTGCTGCTGGTCCTCTCGTCGCAGGAATCTACGCTCTTATGCTCGAGGTAAATCCAAAGCTTACCTGGAGAGACTTCCAGTGGATCACTGTCCTCAACGCTGTCAAGCTTGACCAAGGCGATGACTGGCAAATGAACAAGGCCATCGGTCGCGAGTTCAGCCATCAATACGGTTACGGCAAGGCAGATGCGTGGGCTTTCGTTGAGGCGGCGAAGAATTGGACCAACGTGAAACCACAGGCATGGTACTTCAGTCCATGGCTGCATGTCAAGCAAGCCATTCCCGAAGGCCAGGATGGATTGGCATCGACTTTCGAGGTGACCGAGGAGCACTTGAAGGAGGCCAACCTCGAGCGTGTCGAGCACGTAACTGTGACTATGAACGTCAAACACACGCGCCGCGGTGATCTGTCTGTTGACTTGATCAGTCCATCTGGGATCAAATCCGAAATTGCTACCCATCGTCGAAACGATAACGCACGAAGCGGCTACGTCGACTGGACCTTCATGACTGTGGCACACTGGGGTGAGTCGGGTGTTGGAAAATGGACTGTCATCGTCAAGGACACTCGCAAGAACTCCCACCAGGGCACTTTCATTGATTGGCACTTCAAGCTCTGGGGTGAGTCGATCGACGGCGAGAAACAGGCTCTCCTGCCCATGCCAACAGACCACGATGATGACAATCACGATGTCTACGTTGTCCCGACCCAAACGGCGACTGCTCACACGACATCCGTCGCTCACCCCACCGATGCCCACGGCGCACCGATTGGCAACCCCACTGATCATCCAAACCGTCCTACGAAGCCGAAGCCTATCGCCACCGCGCCAGCAGCGCAAGACACTCCGGGCGCAGTGGAGGGCGACGAGCCAACATCCGTTGCAGATGAGGACACAAACTCCTTCCTTCCGTCCAAATGGCCGACATTTGGGGTATCACGCAAGACGATTTATTGGATTTATGGTGCAGCATTCCTCATTCTGACGTTCCTGATGGCTCTCGCTGTCTGGATGCTCTGTGTCCGACGTAAGCGACGCAGACTGGGAGACTTGGGCGAGTTCGAGATGGTCGAACAGGACGATCCAGACGAGTCGGCACCGCTCGCAGGCAAAGGCCGCGCCAGCGGCAAGCCACGTAATAAGGGCAAAGACCTCTACAATGCATTCGCTGAGGGCAGCGACACAGATGAGGCCGAGGCCTTTGATATCGGAACTGATGATGAAGATGACCACGAGAACTTTGGCGAAGGAAGCTCGAGTGGCAACAGCAGAGGCAGCACGGACAGAGCGCATCCGGCCAGAAATGAAAGGTATAGAGACGAGGACCCTGAAAAGGTCGGGCTCGACACATGAGATGTTTTCGAGCTTCTTCTAAGGCATTTTTTGGTATGTGCATTGGCCGGCGCATAGCATTGCTGGCAGCATTGGATGGGTATACTGTATATACGGGACAATCCTGTGCATTTTTCTTGGTGACGACCTGCTCTCAACTTCCACCAAGTGCTCATGCGTTTCCTTCTATCGCCAAGTCCAATCAGACTCCGCCTCGGCGAGCTTGACTTCATCCTGACGATGCTGTAGTTTGTCAGCATACCAACTTAACACAACGGATATTCCGTGGAACTGAGTACGCCTTTCAGTACTTGGACGATGACTGTGGAGCTGCGTGTCGTGCTGCCCTAGATTACAAATGATGAGCCGAGTCTCGTCCTTCCGCACTGCGATGCCATTGCGTCAGCTGTCGCGGGGCACTTTCGCGCAAACATCAACACCAACACTCCACGCCTATACTTTGCTGCATCGGACCCGCCACATTTCACTGTCAACAAGATCAAGGACAGCCGAAACCCGCAACAATGTCAATGGCCAACTATTACGATCCCTCTGTAGGTCAGTGAACCTGATCCCTACCTCGCAGAAGCGTTACAAATCATCCTCGACAGAGTCCTCCCAGTCGCCATTGAAGGGCCTATGGAAACCAACGCACCTGCAACGTCTATACTATGGCCCGAACAGCGTCAAAGACCACCTTCTTGAAAGCCTTCCGAGCGAGACATCCAAAGCTTTCATCCTCACAGGCAATTCTCTCGCCACCAAGACTCCTCTGATCAAGCAAGTGGAAGAACAACTGGGTAACAAGCACGCCGCGACTTTTAGCAAGATTGGTCAACATGCTCCAGTCAAGGAGCTCGACGAAGCCACTGCGCTCGTGCTCAAGGACCCTTCAATCGACACGATCATCTCCATCGGTGGCGGCTCACCCATTGACAGCGCAAAAGCCATTTCTTACCGCTTGAATGAAAAGCAAAAAGGCAAATGGCTTTACCACATCACAATTCCTACAACTCTCAGTGCAGCAGAATGTACCCTCGGTGCGGGCTACACTGGCGAAGATGGGATCAAGACCGGCGTGGCTCATGCTGAATTGGCGCCGCATGTCGTGATTTACGACAGTAAATTCGCTCTCGAAACTCCAGAGTGGCTTTTCAAGAGCACGGGTCTGCGAGCACTGGATCATGCAATGGAGCTGATGTACCATCCTACGGCGACCGAAATGCCCGCGAGACAGAATTGTTTGCTTGCTGCTCAAGGGTTGTTCGAGGGCTTGAGGGAGTATCATCAGAATCCCAAGGATGAACAAGTTATCACCAAGTTACAGCTCGCCGCGTTCCAGTCATTGGGATTCTTGGCTTTGAATGTCAAAGGTGCTTTGGGTTTGAGCCATACTTTGGGTTACGCGCTCGGCAGCCCGTTCGGTATTCCGCATGGTATCACATCGTGTCTTACATTGGGCCATGTGGTCAAGCTAAAAGCGGAAAGCTCGGCGGACGATGCGAAACAACTGGCGAGAATGGCGCCCTTCGTGGGTGTGACGAAGAGTGGCGATGATAAGAAAGACGGTGTGGCTGTGGGAGAGGCAATCTCGAAGTTGGTGGAGGATATCGGATTGAAGACAACTCTGACGGAGAAGGGAGTTGGAAGGGATCAGGTGGACTGGATCGTGAAGATCGCAACGAGACAGGAGAGTGGGCCAGTTTATGATAAGGTGAAAGGGCTGGTAGAGGGGTTGTATTAGTCGCCTGAAGCTGAACGACATCGTCTATTCGATAGCGTGCGGCACGAGAACGGGCAGATCAGGCGATACAACGCAGATGGTCATCGTGAGGGCATGGAACTCTCAGCAAAGCTCTAGAGGCACAGCTTGAATCGCCACGCGCCGGCAGCTTTCATATTGACGACCACATTGTGTGCAACATGTAGTATATACTCAATCCTTTCTGTACACTCCACGTCCAGCGAAGTGTTCTTTCCGCTTTGAAATCCTCATCGCAACACGAGATCCGCGGTCCCACTTTCCAGCGGAGAAATCAAGGTCATCTAGCATGTCCTCCGACAACATGCCGGACTCGGCGACTTCACCTCGCGCACTCCGGACGTCCTTCAACTCTCGTGGGAATGTACTGCAGTAGATTCTGTGGTGCGATGGCATCCAACGATGCATTCAGCTTGAGATCAGAGGTACGAGTAAATATCCCTCAAGCCTCGCAATCATCTCTCATTCAAAGCCAACAACTTCTCCGCATTCCGATGATACAAATCCTTGACTTCTTCCTCATTGAACAGCTCTTTCACACCACTATCCATCTGACCCAGCAGGAGCTCCACACCATCTGCGCGTGTGAACGGAAAGTCCGATCCATACATCAACCTTGAATGCGGCACTCCGACACCATATAAGAGACTTCTTATCTGACTCGGAAACGCGAAACCCGCCATGTCGAACCAGATTTGAGTCTTATACGCTTCAACAACATCGCTTTCTTCCATTGCTTGCCAAGGTCCTGGAACCAGTCTCCCAAAACCCGTCCATCTCGAGAGTAAAGGCGGAGAAGCACCTCCAAGATGCGGCAAGATGATTCGCAGGTAGGGACAGCGTTTGATCGTACCGCTCATGAAGAGATTCGAAACTACGCGTGCAGTATCGAAGAAAAAATCTAGCATCGGAGTTGGGAATTTTTCTGCGAAAGGTGTGGCTTTCACGGGTTTCTCGCCTGCTGCGATTGCTTCCGGAGAGCAAGGACATTGAGGAGTTGTGGGGTGGATGAACAGGAGGGCTTTGCGTCTGTTGAGCTCGTCGAAGATGGGGTCTAGTTCTGAATCTCCGAGGTAGATTCCATGGGTGTTGGTCATGAAGACGAAGCCGTCGCAGCCTTCGGAGATGGCTTTGGGGATTTCTTCGAGGCTGCCTTCTACGTCTGGAAGAGGAAGGGCCGCGAAGTAGCCGAATCGAGTGGGGTACTGTTTCTTCAGGTCTGAAGCGTATTTGTTGCAGTCTCGGGTCAGAGATCGCGCTAAGTCATCGTCCCCGGGGAGGATATGGCAGCCGGGACTTGAGATGGAGAGGATGGATTTGGAGATGTTCAGCTTGTCCATGAGGGCGAGGTGCTCTTCTGCAGACCAGCCGGGAACGTATGGCATGCCATCGGGATTGGCGTGGCCGTGTTTCTTGAGGGCTTCTTGGTATACTGGAGGCAAGAAGTGCGAATGCACGTCGATCTTGTGAGGCATTCCGGATGCCATGTTTCTAGTTTGATTAGTGTGCTGGAGAGCTGCAAAGACAGACGAGAGGCGCAAAGAGAAAGCAAGAAGCGGTGGACTTGAATACAGATTAGCAGACTTCCGGTGCCCGCGATGGCTGTCGAACCGGGATGCAGACTGTGGTACACATGCTACGGGAAACGGAAGAACAGGATGAAGGGCAAGCTCAAACCAGCAGCGGTCAACATTTCCGGCAGTTGTTTTCTCTTCATCATCATCGTCAGCATTGTCTTTCTATCATCAAACCTACTGCTGGCATCAGATGTTCTCCTCAAAGATACAACGCGTGGCATCAGAATTTCAAGTCCGCAGCGTATGGCTACGCGGAACATGCATTGTATCAGAATCCAAAGAAGCTGGACAGCTGGTTTTCAAGCTCCAGTGCTGGCTCCCCACGGCGATCCGTGCTCATGCACACAGCAACGGACTTCACCCGTCAGCCAGCGGACTTAAAAGAACGATCACAGGTCCGGAGAATATTCCTGGGTATTGGCTCAGCTCCAAGACTCCAGCAAGACCGTAACGAGAGTTCGTCACATCAGACACTTCAAAACGAACGTGGATTGCCCGAGAGCAGTCGCCATTGAGAACCCAACGCAAGAGCTCAACTGTTAATCGCAGCAAGCAGTCATTGACTTTGCATATATTATAGTGCGACGCTGGAGCTTGCCCAGTGACGGGCCATTTCCTCCAAGTGGTCAGCTGCAGTGAGCGTTGATTCCTTCAGCGCCTACTTCATCAACATTATGTCAGGCGGATCCACAGCACGTCTCGCTGCAGCATAGTTGTTACACAAACGCGAACTTATAATATTGCGGCGCGTCAGCTTTCTATTGAACAGCGCTTACCTCAGAGTAGTGATTGAGACACCACTTTTCGAATATGGCATCTTTCCTCATCAAAGATGTGCGGATCTTCGACGGCGAGACCACGATCGAGAGCGGCTCCGTGGTGGTGGAGAACGGCAAGATCTCGAAAGTCTCCAAGGAACCAATAGAGTATGACGGCAAGATCATCTCGAAGTCCGGTCATACACTTCTCCCTGGACTTATCGATGTTCATGTGCATTGCGATAATGCCAATCCCATAGCTCCACCGCAAGCACTTAGATTTGGAGTAAGTAGGCTTTCCCTAATTAACACCACTTTAAGATGAGGTGTTGATCTTGGACTCACGGCTTGCAGTGTACTACGGTTTGTGACATGCACAATGGGTTCCCAAATATCCAAAAGCTCCGCGAACAAATCAAAGGCGGTGACTGTGCAGATATCAAAAGCACAAGCTTCGCTGCCACGATTAAAGGTGGCTGGCCCGAGGCCATCGTTTTGATGCTCAACGACAATCCAGAAGTAGGCAAAGTTCCAATCTTCCAATGCAAATAAAGCGACTCACGACTTGTCGACAGACTCGCGCCGAGATCGCCACCTGGCCGAAGCTCCAAACTCCAGAAGACGGCCAACAATACGTCCTTGACCGCATCAGCGAGGACGTAGACTACATCAAACTCATGCACGAATCCGGCCTCGTGATGGGCGCAAACTTCCCCAAACCTTCTCTCGACCTCCAAAAATCCATCATCGAAACTGCTCACTCCCACGATCTCCTCGTCGTGGCCCACGCAACCTGTCTCTCTGACACTCTCGAGATCCTGTCCGCTGGTGCAGATGGTTTGACGCATACTTTCATCGATGCTCCTCCGACAGAAGAGCTCATAGCAGCATATAAGAAGAACAACGCGCATTGTAATCCTACTCTGTCGGCAATGGGCTCAGGTACCAAGGAGGGAAAGGAAACGCAAGAACGCTTCGCGCATGATGAGAGAGTACAACACCTTCTGGATAAGACAGAAAGGGAACAAATGTGTAAATGTATGGAGTTTGCGAGGAAAGCAGGCGCGACGTGCGAGAATGCTTTTGAGTCGGTGAGGAGGTTGAAGGAGGCTGGGGTGTTGATTTTGTGGTAAGTCTCATTTCTTTTACGTTGCCAAATTACTTGGCTGCTGTTACGTTCGAGGGCTCTTGATGTTGTGGCTAATGCTCGTGGGATAGTGGCTCTGATGCTGCGGGACCTGCAGTGGGTACCGCATGGGGATTGTCGATGCATCAGGAATTAGACTTGTTTGTGAAGCAGTGTGGTATCACGCCGGAAGAGGCTCTGATCTCGGCGACCTCTGCTCCTGCGAAAAGGTTCAAATTCTCAGATCGTGGGATGATCAAGCCTGGTTTGCGAGCAGACCTGCTACTCGTGGAGGGCAATCCCCTGGAAGACATTACACACACGTTAGACCTGCGTGGAGTGTGGACAGAGGGAAAATTATGCAGTGCCTATGAGGGCAAATTGTAGAAATGTAATTGAATTTGCGCTCCGACAAGCGTGAGAACAGGGCTCGTTCCATCATTGCAGCGTTAGTGAAATGCTAGTAGTACAGTTTAGGAGGCACGCGGCTATAAGTATGCCAGACCACCACCATCTATGATCTCTAGATCGCTGCGAACGCCCCATGCATCGGTACCCGCTCGACCAAGTACATCTGCTCTTCGAGGAGCACCCAGCTCGCCAAGCCTCTTGATCAAGTTACCATCTACCACACCTCTTGCTCCGCCGAAGTTTTCGGCCTCAACGGCTCTGTAAGCTCTCGGGTTCAAGCCGGCAGCGTGTTCCAAGATCGCTGTAAGATGAGTCTGCAGCGCCGACAGCCTTCTGTACGCAGCTTCGTCAAGCGGCGTCACTAGTCCGATAGAGCCTGAGGTGGATGTCGTGAGCACATGATACAGCGACGGAGCGGCTCCCGTGGCATCATCGGCATCATCATTCATTCCATTCGCGATGTCCCGGTCTTGCGTCTCAAATGGTTTCAAAGCCGAGGGCAGAAGAAGCATGTTTGTCACAAAATGCCCAACGTGGAAGGTGCTGCGGTGCAACAATCTCATTCCATTCACCGATTTCGGGTTCTCGGGGTCGTATTGGAGCACATGGAGATCCATATCGGCATCCATGATGAGGATGTACAGCCCACCATCGAACGGCAGGAACTCTGCAGCCATGATCTCCATTTTGCTTTTCGGTGACTTGCCCAAGACCGTAAGCTTGTATGGCTCTTCTGTGAAGCCGCCGAACCAAAGACCTTTCCATACATCGCCAGCAAGCCACATGCCTCGCCCAGAAAGGACTTTCAGGGTATGCGTATAGCTTTGAGCATCCAGGAATGCGACCGGCAGGCATGTTCCGTCTTCTTTGAGACCACGGACCATGAGCTTGAGGCCCTGAGCAGTACCGACAAACCCGCCTGGGAATGGACCGGCCAAAGCTGTGATAGCGCCTCGTGACTGTTCTCGAGCGAGCTGATGGAGCTTGAAGCCACTTTCCGCGACGTCAGGCTCTGGCACAACATCGATGATGTCGTAGAGTATCACGGCTCCTTTAGCTGGCATATCCTCACCACGCTGTGCGGCAGTGGAGACCACTACGAGTGGCTTCTGCTCGTGTGAGTTTTCTGACACCTCCAGCACCATGACCTTCAAGTCCGTGACAGTCTCGAGATAAGGTAGTTGGATCGAATGTAAGATTTTGTGTGATGTCGCAGACACCAAGTGAATGGTATACAGAGGGACTTGTGGCCGCAGCTCGACGTCATCCTGTTCGGGATGCCTGCCATCTTCTCCAGCGAAGTAGAAGTCCACCTCTCTGCAAGTCGCCACGACGTAGACACATCTTGACTCATGGTAGGCAATGTGTCGTACATCCTCGCCAAGATCCGTCTGTTGTACACTCCAGCCGGTGCCGTACCAGGTTTGTTCCGGCAATCGCATTTCTTGTAGCTCGTCGTTTGATGCCAGAGCAATAAAGCCATGATCACAACCAGGTCGATGCACTGGCGATAGAGTCGATACGCGCTTTGATGACTCTGTTCCCCGCACCTCGAGTATTCTAGGAAGCGACGAAGAGTCTTTCAGTAACAGACATGCAGGACCTCCGGGAATGCTAACAGCGCGATAGTCACCAAAGGTCACACGCTTCAGCGGGGCTGGTCGACTAGCTTGTTGAATTCCGGCCAATTGCTCATTGAATTTGGGGTTGTAGCAAAGGGGCACCTTTCGAAACCGCAAGCTTGAGTACCACGCGTCATCAGTCGAGTCCTGCGGCCAGGTAAAAGGTTCGTATATCACAATGTCGTCCAAAGCTGTCCGTACAACCAAGTAAGGCAGTGTTGCATCTCGTTGTCCAAGATTTGTCACCAAGAGTTCCGTCAAAGTATCTTTGGTGCCAACGCGGCGTGCTGCAGCATCAGCTGCCAGAATCGGGGGCAGATAAGACAGGTTTTGGGCTGTGTAGATCGGCTGCAGCTCGGGCAAACTGAAGACGTGCAGAGTGCCATCCGCATGCAGCAGAAAGAGCGCAGCTTTGTTCTGTGTGAAGTCTCCTGAGAATACACAGCCGCTTAACCACTTCTTCTCACTGATCAAACCTTCGCCTTCAAGCGGTTCAAGTTCACGGCCTCGGACCGCTTGCACTTGTACACTGCTATCGTTACGTATAATTACGACGTATGGATCGCCGAATGAGATGTGCGCAACATCGAGATCTTCGTCCGTTTCTTCATCAGTCATCGGAATTATTTGATCCAGAGCCAGGTTCGCGTTGTACGTTCGAAGCTCCGTGCGCCGACATTGCACTATGATGGTACCTTCCGCGACCGCGTCCATGTCAATCGTCTCGCCTTCGCTTTCGAATTCTGGGGCATTCCGTTCCGTGTATGCATCGTCGCTGTCGTCTTGGATATCGTATACTTTTGTGCCATCATCATCAGACACGAAAAGCATGTTGTCGTGCTGGGCTGGTGCAGCGTTACGTTGTCTGGCACGGACTGCCCATACAGCCTTGGAGTTCCCGAGCTTGAGTGTGCGTTGCACTTCAGGAACAATGTCGCGATGGAGGAAAGTAAGTCTGCTGGCTCGTTTCCGTCCAGAGCCCGCAGCGAGCTCGAGGCGTTCTTTACTTTGCCGTGGCCGACCCAGGCATGCTTTGTTGATGGGTCCAATGGCGGGCAACTCGTCCTTGATCGAGAAATGGTACGGCGAGTCCGAGTTGACTGCCGTATCAGATGTCGCGCGTCTCTTCGGTTCTGGAGCGGTTTGATATAAGTCGTCATCATCTTCCTCCTCTTCCTCCTCCTCTTCGTCATCCTTTTCGAGCATTTGAGCGTGCGAGCGTTTCCGACTCAGAGCCAAGGTGGGCCGCGACCAGCCCAGAAGAGTTGAGGCGCCATCTTCACTGCCGATGAATACGTGGTCGCTGTCGAGTCGTGCTGTGCAAGACGATCCGGACATGACCAGAGTGCTCCCATTTTCCGCTGTCGCTCTCTTCACATTGACTGCGCTGACAGTGCCGCCGAGCATTTGAAACGACAGTATTGCCAGCGAGCCTTCATTGGTGATGATGAGTAGCTCTCCAGTTCTGCGATCCAATAACTCGATCCTGCTATCTTCCAATTTTAAATTCAGATGAGACTGATCTGCCATGCCAAAGTCGCTTTCCAACTTGGCGAATTCGTTGACCGCCGTGGCATTGGCCTTGCCGTTCTGATCGATATGCACTAGCTCGTTCGTGCCAATGAGCAGCGCGCCACCCACTGGCAATGGCAGAGGCATGACCTTCCATAACGTCGACGGCAGCTTGGGCACGCTGATCAAACTTGTTGCCAATGTCTTATCGAGATCCAATGTGAGCACTGTGTAGGTGAGGATATCCTTTCGCTCCTCGATGAGGCTGTATGAAGGCTCTACAGGAGCCGACAGGATTGCGAAGGTCGGGTCTCGGTATTGATGCAAGAATGCCAGATGAACAGCATGGCTGATACTCGGCTCCAGCTCAGTGAGAGCGAGAGTGAAAGAGGCCTTGTATGGCGTCTCTCCAGCTTCCCCATTGACTTGTGGTATCGACTCCGATCTCTTCAGGGCCGGTGATGTCTCGCCGTTCTCGTACTCGCCCTCCTCTTCACCTGCCAGTTCGTCTCCAAATTGTCTGAATGGCAGAATGGCCAGCCGCCTTGCGCCGAATTTGAGGGCTGCGCATCGCAAACTCGGGTCGACGGCCAAGATGGATTCGCAGTCGCTGAGAGGAGGTCCGAAGTGTGGCGTCACGACATTGTCTCCCTCGTAGAAGTGCAGACTGATGGTACTGATGCGGTAGTTCTCTTGATCCCACTCGACCAAGCTGAGCTTCGCGTCTTTGAAGGCCAGAAGCACGGCTTCTCCTCCCGACTTGCTCTCGAGTATCTTCACACGCGCTATGGAGGATACTGTGCCCGCCAGACTGTACTCTCCCACTAGCACTAGTCGTTCCTGCCCGCCATCGCTCGTTGCATGGACCTGAAATACCTGCAGCAGAGACGTCTTCGCGATGACCAGATTGTTGGACTCGGCGCTCAGAAACGGCAGCGACACGGCGTGGGTGACTGCCGTCGGGGGCACGAGCTCCGTGTAGCACTGCATGTCTTCTCCGCCGTCGCCAGGTCTGCGCGCATTGGCAGTGTTGTTAGCGCAGACAATGCAATGGTGATGGATGTCGCGTGGGTCCAGCTTGGATTTCTAGATGGAAGCGCGTCGGGATCGCGTCCGTGCACGATTAAGCTCAAACAGCTCCATCGTCATTCCTGCTGCTCTCAAGCTAACAAGCTCGCCGACCAAGGAAGGCACCAGGCGGCTACAAGAAGCTGTGCCTCCTCTTCTCTGCTCCCCTCACGCGACCACACCAGCGCCGGACGCGGACGCAGACACCTCCATCGCCCACCATGGCACTCATCGAGACCAGCCTCATTTGGGTGGCCTACGCCGTTTGCCTCGCCATCATCTTCTTCATTTCCGCCATCTTCGTCTTCGTCTACCAGAAACCGGGCGAACGCAGCGTCGCCGTAACCATCATATGCTGGATCACCGTTCTCGCACTGCTCGCAACCGTTCTGTTGATGCCAGTGGATGTGGCACTGGTCTCGTCCACAACAAGCAGGAAATTGGGCAGGAAGAAGGATTGGGCCACGCCCGACAAGGTGGATGATACGCTGTACACTCTGAAGATTGTATACTACACTCTGTACAGTCTGGACGCTGTGCTGTGTCTGCTTGTCGTCCCGTTCACCTATTTCTACTACGAAGAGTACGACGAGGTTGCGACCGAGGAAGGGCAACAGACCATCGGCAGCAGGCTGTGGGGTGCCTTCAAGTGGACATTCGCGTTCCTCTTGTTCTGCGTGATCCTCTTCCTCGTCGGCTTCTTCATACCTGTTGCGAAGAAGGCAAGAGATGATAACAAAGACCTCGACTACTTCAAGGACCTGCTCACTGAAAATCGTGCGTATCATGCTTCCGTCAGTATCAACAGCATCTCGCTAACAATTCTGCAGATGGCGAACGCGCTCTCACATTTGCTATTGGTGTCCTGATCCTCATTGGCACCCTTCTCTATTGTTTATACACGGCACCAGGCCTGGCTCTGCTCCCAGTCTCGTTGATCAAATCCGCACCAAGCATCTCTGCACCACAGCTTGCCGAGTCCACCGAGAGTCAACTTGCTCAAAATCGGGAGCGTCAACGCCAATTGGAGGGCCGCAGCGAAGGCCGTCAAGGTGGTCTGGATGGCCGCGACCGACGTGAGCTGGAAGCTCTTGTTCGCGAGGAGCGCACTTTGGTTCGCCGCCAGCGCCTCGCCCAAGAGAATGCTGGCACTGACCGCAACTGGATCATTAAGGTGTGGCTCAAGATTGAGGCTATATTCCGTCCTCTGAAGCTCATTCTCGGCTTGCTCTTGGTCGTCATTGCGTTGATCATCTTCGCCAGCATGCTCATCACCATGGTGGACAAGTTGAAGAACTCTGCCTGCGGTGTGTCGTGCGGCTACCTCCTTGGCAAGACGAAGATCTTCCAACCCGTCAACGCGCTGCTTCGCGAGACATCCAAGGTCTTCCCCATCGACTACGTTATTTTTCTCTTGCTCACCATCCTCTTCTTCTCGGCATCCGTTGTGGGGCTCGCCACCATTGGTATCCGCTTCCTATGGGTCATGCTCTTTAGGATCCGCAAAGGCCAAACTACACCCAATGCGATGCTCATGGCGACAGTGATGTTGACGCTGATGACCTTTGCCCTCAATTACAGTCTGGCAATGATTGTTGCACCTCAGTACGTCACATTCGGTCCGCAGACTTATTGTGATAGGCCGACTAGCAACCCAGACCTGCAGCCGGACTGCAGCAAGCACCACAATGCCATCAAGCCTTGCTCAGAAAGGTCGGACAACCCCGTCGCAAAGATGGTCTGCACGCCTTCTGTTGTGTCGACATTCATCAACAGGATCACTGCCAACTTCCCTTATCTTGGTGCCGTAGATTTTTACGCGCAATTCGCCTTCTTGGGAATATTCATCGTCGTGTTCCTGGTAACACTCTTCCGAGTTCCTCAACTTGACGAAGAATTGATGGACGAGGATTTGCGCGAAGCAGAGGAGGAGGGACTGCTGGCCAGCACAGGGAGAAGATTTGGAGCGACCTGGCAAGACATCACAGGACGCGCTAAAGGTGTCAACAGATCCGATTATGGCGCTGTGAGAGACAGTGAGCCAGTGGGTGATGACTGAATATGGAATGAACAGGACGTGAGGATGTACTGAACTCCGAAGCATAGAATGACATTGTGAACATAGGCTTCGCAACTTCTATTGGTTTGATACCCTTTTGGCGTGCATGTATGGAGGGACAGTATTGAAATGTGCTACGACAGGTTACCTCATCAGCAGACGCGTGCATTGCTGCTTATTTTTGTACTCTCGGGCAGGGACTGTAAGGTACGATCTGCATTTTCTTGGCGCTACGCTACCTTTCTTACTTTCGTCATCTATTCTTTCTGCTCCCCTTGCTCCTTCTGTCGCGACTCCGGATCGACCTTGGTCATTGAGAGAAGACGTTCAATCTGAAAGAAGAGACTATTGGTGTCTGCACGAGTGCACCGATGAGCCTGTCCGGTTGCACATGCTGGACTCTTCATGAGGGGCACAACATGCCTCGGCACCGCATTTAGTGGGGTGGAAATGAAGTTCTTCCTCGATCTACAATCCTGTTATCTTGCTGCCTACACAACGGCCACGCCGATAATATATCCTGAGGCTGGAATTGGTCGGCTCGCGGAGAGTGGTTTTCCAACACAAGCCGCCTAGAAGTTCTCCGCCTCCGCTTGAGGCTTGCGAGCTTAACTCGCCCAAGATGTGCCACTCACGGCAAGGACCGAAGTCACCGTGACAGATTTCCACGCCAGCCTCGGAAGTCTCGTAGGCTGCTTGTGTCGAGAACATGATGAGTGTCATGATCAGGCAGCACTGAAAGTGAGTTGTAGATAAAGAGAGCCATTGACTCCTGTCGAGATCGCATCATTATCGCAGCACGAACAGATCCAAAATCCAAACAGACACAAACACAAGATCACTACAAAACACCTGCTGTATCTATCCACAACCACATCCCCCCAACCAAACCTCAACAACCAACACAATGCTTCGCCTCAGCAAATTCGCCCAACTGGCCGCCTCAGCCAAAAATGCCATGACCAGTCGCTCCGCAGCCTCAACCCAAGAAAACCTCAACACAATCAACGAATACGTCCAAAAACTCACCCAAATCGTCACAGCCTACTCCGGCGGCCTCCTCGCCGCCTCTCCCATCTCCAACCAAGAAGCCGCGCTAGGAATCCAAATCAAAAACGCAACCGCAGACGCCAACGCCTCAGAAATCGTGTCCGAACAAGAAGCTCGCGAAATTATTGCTTATATTACGGATGTTTTGGAGCCGAGTATTCGAGCTTGTATGAATGCGATGAAGACGAAGAAGGAATTGTTTGTTGCTTCGAGTTTGCAGGGGACTGTGACAGGGGATATGAAGGATTTGAGAGTCCAGACTGAGACTTTAGGGAAGGCGCTTGTGGCGAAGGCGCCGGCGAGTGAGCAAGCGGCTGGACAGAAGACTTTGAAGGTTGTGGATAAGGATTTTGAGGAGGCGATTAAGCATTTTGCTTAGATAGGTGGAAGAGTTTGTTTGACATGTTAGCGATTCCTTTTGGTATAAGTCATGATCATTATTTTGGTTCTACCGCTAGACCAGCCTTTCAGGCTTACAGTTCTCATCTCGTACCGATCTTCCGTTTGTTCCTCAAGACTTTTGTGCCCCCTCGGCCGTTCTAAGTCTCCATGCTCGCTCGGTAATCTTCCGAGTCGAACCATGTCTCTCGCCATCGTTCGATCGATTCCACCATGCACTCCACATAATTGGACATCCGCGCATTCGACCCTCGAAGGTTGAACAGGGCTCGTCCTCAAATCTGCCTCCTCCTAGTTGTATGAGCTTCTGGCCGAGATTCTCCTTCACCCCTGCGTCATTGCCGGAAAGGATGTGTGTGCGCAATTGATTTGAGCCATTTTGGTCCACCGACCATGTTCGTAATATCTGTTGGGAGATTTGGTGGTTCTGGTACCGGTGCTGCTAGTACTGAAGCTGACAGAAATGCGGTGGCCAGGGCGAAACGGATTTCTAGCTTCATGACGGGCAAAGTTGGCCACGCCAATGAGCTCGGTGTGGTCGCAAAGTGGTTCAAGTCGACTGGTCTTTCCGCAAATAGGATTTTGAGGTGTGCGGACCTCTTACACATGCTGTCCTATTCAGGACTCAAACAGGAAAAAGTGAAAGACAAAGAACGTTGATGTCGTCTTTCATGTGTGGCCGTAAATCGACTTTTTGCTGAGCCATTGAGCATATGCTTTGAGCGTACACCGGATGCTGACATGCACACATGTCGGATGAAATGCATGGTACACTTCGTACTCATCATAGATCCATCGCGCCGCTCACCCATCTGATGCTGCTGCGCTTATTCTTTGACCTCGTCAACTCACGTTTGAGAATCTTTGTATCGTGTGGATTGTCGCCCAGGTGCCTTGTCGTAGGATTACACTCGGCCAGATTTACACACTCAAGTCCGCTCAGATGTAGCATACACGAGACCCCGTCTATCACCCAGGGACGCGCATGTGGGTAGACGAGCATTGGGCGAGGCAGTCTGATCGTGATGCATTGGAGCTTGTCGCAGGCACCAAGGAGGGCGAAAGCTATTGCATCTTCTCGTGCACCACATATGATATCGACTGCTTTCAGCAGTTGGCGCCCATAATTGCCAATGTGTCTAAGAAAGAGGTACATGACTTTTGTGGATCCAAATTTGAAAGTCGTGTTGGAGAACAGAATGTCCAGTGCCTCTTCATAGATGGCACGACAAGTGAGCATGATGTTGATCTTGGTGGTATCACGAGCTCTCCGTCTGCTATGACCAGCCTCTGTAATGACGCGGTTCGTGTCCGCGTTCAGTGGCACAATCGCCGTAACCTTGTCCAGTCTTGGCATGAGCATGGAATAGATCTCAAGACGAAGTTCGGTCGGCAAAGAGAAGAATGGACTCTTCTGGGCTCGTCTCGACAAGGTCACCGCACGCTCCGGAGCGTCACCGGATTGTCGGTCAAAACGCCGGCGAAGAGCATTGAATCTTGACTTGCCACCTGGGAGCGAGTCTGGCTTGTTCATGTCCAGCGGGTTTCGCACTTGAAGATGGAGACATTCCGGATAGTGTAGCCGGATGGCCTCGAATATCCGAGGGGCGTCAGCTATGCAGCCTTGAAAGGCACGCACGCTGTCTTCTCGCCGTACGAAGGCGCCACAGGAATTGCATCTTGAACCTTGCTCGAGAGCTTCGAGAGGCGGGCGGTCATATACATGTCCAAGAGCTGCTAGCTGTCTTGCAGTGGCGTCATCGTCGAACCAGTACCCTCGAAAGGTCGCCAGGCGGTCTGCATAACTAGTCTGGAGCTGAGAATTTCGGGACATGTTAATGGACAGAGATGTGTAAGATGTAAGATCGATCGCGTAAGAGGCATTGGTGAAAAAGCTCAACAAGCTACCGAGAAACTCCAGGTGGGCGGCCGACGTGAAGGAGAAAAGTCTGGCGCAGCATTGGCGCAACGTGCCACGCGAGCATGCTGTTCTGCAGGCTAAGTTAGTACCTCCTCGATATTGTCATGTGGCCGCCTTCCTTGATCTAAGGCTCCCTGCTTCCCACTGCATCCGAGTTCGCAAAGAGCTTGGTCGCTGTGGAGTGGAGCGGACGCGGCTGCGGAGCCATCCGGCCAAGCCCTACAACCTGGAAGTTACGCGAAACTCTAATCAGAATCAATCTTTTTGGTCGTCGAGTTCGAGATCGCAGTTCTCTACACACACATCCTACGCCATGCCTTCCACACACAACGCCGACAAACCGTGGGACACGGACGACATCGACAAATGGAAAGAAGACCCCTTTACCCCCGACCAGAACGCCGGCGGCACCTTCAGCGAAGAATCGACATTTTCCACCCTCTTCCCCAAATATCGCGAACTCTACCTAAAAACCAACTGGCCGCGGATCACAAAATCGCTCGAGAAGCACGGGATAGCATGTTCGCTCGATTTAATCGAAGGCAGCATGACTGTCAAAACCACGCGAAAAACTTTCGACCCCGCCGCGATTCTCAACGCCCGCGATTTGATCAAACTGCTCGCGCGTAGTGTGCCTGTCGACCAAGCGCTGAAGATCCTAGAAGATGGAATGGCATGCGATGTTATAAAGATTCGAGGCATGGTGAGGAATAAGGATCGCTTCGTGAAGAGACGACAACGAATTTTGGGTCCCAACGGAAGCACATTAAAAGCTCTCATGCTTCTTACGCAAACCTACATCCTCGTACAAGGCAACACAGTATCCATCATGGGAGGCTACAAGAGCTTGAAAGAAGTCCGCAGAGTCGTGGAAGATTGCATGCAAAATATTCATCCAATCTATCACATCAAAGAGCTCATGATCAAGCGCGAATTGGCCAAAGATCCCGAACTCAAGAATGAAAACTGGGAGAGATTTCTGCCGCATTTCAAGAAGAGGAATTTGAGTAAGAGACGAGTACCCTTCAACGTCACGGACAAATCGAAGAAGGTTTACACACCTTTCCCGCCACCACAAGAGAAGAGCAAGGTGGATTTGCAGATCGAAAGTGGAGAGTACTTTTTGAATAATGCGGCGAAGGAGCGGGCGAAGAAGGAGAAAAGGGAGGAGGTCATGAAGGAGAAGATGGAAGAGAAGAAGCGAAAGCGAGAAGAGGCGTTTGAGGCGCCGAAGGAGGATGCGGATGTGAAGAAGAAGAAGAAAAAGAAGGAGAAGGATGGGGAGAAGAAGAGTAGTAAGAAGCGGAAGGCTTCGGAGGATGTAGAAATGGAGGAGTGAACAGAAATTGTACATTGTGGCATGGCATTGGCTTAGCGAGGAGTCTGGCGTGGTTCGTGTTACTGACAGCTTGAATCAATTGCATACGGATGTCGATCGATACTGCTGCTGCCTTTAAGTCCCCCCTTCTTGAGGGCCTTTTCCTGTGGAATCACGCACCCAAAACCCTCACGCCGTCAACAGTCAACTCGTGGCGCTTGTAGAGTGCAGCCGCTCGCTTAAGCACTCAAAAATGGCCCGTGGCCTTAATAGCGAGCGCAATTGCGCAAAGTAGAGCGCAAGTCCAGTAAAAAGAGCGGGCTTTGCGATCATGCGGCGCGAAAAGAACAACAATGCAAATATTACACAAGAGCGTGGACGACGTTTCGTCTTCGAAACACTGAGCTCATCCAAATTTGGCCGTGTGCCCGGAATGGCCGACTGCGCAGTGAGTGTGTCGTCGTATTGCTGGCAACAACTCTATGCTGTTGGCGGTATAATGCATATCGCTGGAACTCGTTCTGGGGTGTGATAAGACGCAGGTGCCTAAGCCGGGAGGGAGAAGTCGCCTTCACCAAGAAGAGACCAGTCAATATCAGAGTAGATGTTGTCGGCCATGTTGGAACCAGCGTCGAATGGCAACCCGAAATCCACAACCTGCTTTTCGTCTGCATCTCTCTCGTATGCAAAGCCTGCCTCCTGTGGTATGGCAGAGTTGTGTGGAAGGGCGAAGTCGTGCACTGATGCTGGTGAGACCTGAGCAAAGGACGCAACTGGAATGGACGCTTGATCTGAAATCTTCTCTGCCAGCGGGTTGAACCACGTCGAAGCAGCCGGCATGGCGTTTTGTGCTGGCGCGGCGGTGCTTCCTGCCACTGGACCACCTTGGCTGTAATGTGTTGGCGTGGAGAGTACGTTCAATCGCTTGACTGGATCAGCTGTGTCAGAGAACTCGCGCTTGATCAGGGGCGCTGCATGAAAATCCGGCATCATCATCGGATTGAAGCTTGCGCGCATCTGCTGGCTCTGCAAAGGTGGCATGCCATCTCCGACCGCGCCGCCCTTGTTCATGCTCTGGTCTGATCTCGACTGTCGTTTGAATCGAGTTCCGCCTGGACTAGTCATTCCTTCATCTTCCGCCTGGCGCTTCATGCCCCTCATCGCTTGCGGTGCACCATCTCCAGAAGCACTGTTCGGCAAGAAAATGCCACTGTCGTGACGTCTCCAGTCTCCAATCTTGTCTGCCAAAGACACCTTACGCTCACTTATAAGATGTTCGTGCAGCAGTCCGGAACCTTTCCTCCCAACAGTGCGTGCCTTGTCGGGCGAATGGACTGGGTCAGACTTGCCCGGCGAGAAGCCAGAAGAGTCGGATTTAGCCTTGATGGGTGAGAAGGATCCTGAGAGGTCCGAGTTGTCATCGCGATAGTTGATCTTCTTGTCTTTTACCCTACTGCTTCGCCGCACCACGCTGGAAGACTTCCCTGGCGAGCTGGCAGGTTCCACTTTCTGCTTCTTGGCTCTAGTAAGCTTCTGCTGGTGAGCTCGCACTTCTGGGATGGCGTTCTGGACAGCGCGTTGTTGTGCTTGGGCCCGCATCTGCTCAGATACCATCGCTTGTGCCGTAGGGTGGGTGCGGTGGATTGCGCTGGCGTTCTGGACAGGAGCTCGTGGCATTTGTTGCTTATGAGGAGCTGACGGAACCAACAACGACGCCTGATGCAACGGTCCACTGGGAATTTGCAGCTCCAGCGGAAACTGGCGAACGCTTTCGAAGCCTTGTCCGTCAATGACTTCGCTTGGGTCGCTAGACTCGTTGACCTTAGCCAGCACCTGTGGGTGGAAGTTCGCGAGGAAGACTTCAAACGAAGGGCCCCGTGGATATCCCTGCTGCTTCCGAACCTGTTGATCGTCATAATGCCGCTTGGCCAGACTCTTGACCTTCATCCAGGTGTTACATTCATGCTCGTATTGCTTTTTCTGCTGATCGACGATTATCAATGAAGAATTCAACACCTTCACTTCGCTCAGGGCGAGGATGTGTTCATGAGAGGCGCCCTGAGCAAGCCAGACATCGCGCTTGCTGAGCAATATGCGCTTTCGCATCTCGAGTTCAGCCACGATAGCGAAGAGCTTGCCCTTGACCTGTTGATGGCCCTTCTCGATCTTGTCAAAGAATTGGCCATCGCTGGTAGCGCCGCAATAGAACATGCCGGCGCCACATTGTACCTTCTCCTCTGCATGCTCGATGCTGTAGTCTGCACAGTCAATCTTGCGCCAGAAATTGACGTCCAGCTGGGCGGCAAGGTAGCATTCTCCCTCATCGATTCGTGTGCAGCCGCAGAGGAAGGTGATGAACGTCTGGAAGCACATGTCGGGAGGTGCTCAGCAGGCTGCTGGTCGTTGCGCGCGTGGAGGAATCAACTGCTGCCGGGGCAGGTGGGCGCCGTTGTTGATGTTGGTCAGGCGGTGCAACCGAGTCTGCCCGTCTCCTGATGCTGGGGTTGAGATGGGTGAGCGTGTGTGAGCGATAAGTCTTCATGTAGCACACCGCACACGATTTCAGAGTTGAGGCGAGAGTGTCGGGTGATGTCGCGGTCGTCGAAAGACCCGTTGACATGTGGAAGAGGAAGGGACTCTTCAAATTTGGCTGAACTAGAGGCAATTCACTGAACGTTTACACTCCAGGCATCACGACACAACTCACATGCTGAAAGCGATTGCAACCAGATCTGCTCCAGTCTCCAGCGCTCTAGAGCGTCTGTGAAGCCGCCGCATGTGAATTTGGCCCGCAGCTTTCTACTCTTTTGCACGAAGTTCTCGCGCTCATGGGCATTGCTAGCAAGTCCTCGGCGTCTCCTTCTTCGGCGTCTGGCCACGGCCGTCTTGAGATGCAGTCCGGGAGTACTTTCGCTTCTCGCGACATGTGTGCATTCGCTACGCGCTGCTCAACGCAGTCTTGCTTTGTATCAGAACCAGCCGTGGGCACAAAGCTGCCTTCCCACCAGTTCTAGCACCGATTTGGTCTTCGCGTCCCAAAGCCATTTGGATGTAGGGCTCTAGCCATGTGCTTTTATGAGCAATTTCATTGCCATTACTTACGCTGTTCTAGCCCATTCTGTCGTAGATGCACGCGCGCCCTTCTCTATTCTTTCTCGCATATCTTCTCACATCTTTCCTGCCGTGTCGGAGATCCTGCTGACCCAGAAGCGCGAGCTGCTGCGGACAGTGTCGCCAGACACAGCATGATGTCCTCAGCCTTAGCGCTCCTCATGGCTGACAAAACTTATTCTCGGTGCCGTACGAGCCATCTTGGGGGTCCGTGAGAGGTGGCCACGTGAACAATGACCGCAGCAGAAAGGTCGCGCGCATTCGTCTTGACGCTTGCAAAAGTTCGACGGCCAGGTGCCTGCAAGTGAAGAGGCTACTTCAGACGGGTGAAGTCGAAGACAAGGGCACTCCTGGACACTTGTACCGTCAGGCATCGGAGGCTTAGCCGTACTTGATCCTTGTATGATGGCGCAAGCTGCAGCCGCGATCTTGAGGAAAAAGTGGAAGCAGATCGAGGAACGAGCGACTTCGCAGAGCTGTAGCTTCCATACAACAATCTCTCGACATCAACGAAAACAAGGCGCAAGTGACCAAGACGCATGTCAGGCACGAGAAGATTGCAGGGCGCGCAGCATGCGGCCACTCAAGCTGTCAAACAGGAGGAGAGGTGTGCCTTCTACGAATCATCGGCCTCCTCCGCTCGGGCTGGCGCGAGCTTGGGGAGCCGAAAAAGCAAGTGTGCCGTTTGGCGTCTCGATGCGTGTCACAGCTCCTGTGCTCAATCGGGCTAGATTTTGCAAACAATGATGATGCGACTCTCGCGTGTGGATTTTTCCAAAGGCCGATTTCCCGTGCCAAACGCCTCCTCCTCCTCGCTGCCGTGGCACACCACGCGGCGAGACTTGCACTCGTTGCTGCTACCATGACTGTACAATAACCCTCTGGCTCTGCCGACCCACTCCCCAATCGACTTCTGGCGTTGCTCCAAGAGACACATTCCTCTGGTCCAGCTGGTGGAGCATACATCTTGACCTAGGACCTGCCAAGTGTGCTTGGCTGTCGAGACAATCATGACTTCACGAGAAGAAAGAGCGATCGACGCGACTCTGCATCCGACGACATATGCTCCCAATGCGACCACGGACTCCTCAGAAGCGCAGCCAGGCTTGACGAGGCCAGAGTCACACCGAGACACAATGACGGAATTGGAAGAACACGAGAACAATGGGCAGGGCGACACAACACAACACAGCAATGCACCCAGAACGAGTTCAGATGCGGCAGACGTTGAGAAGCAAGAGCACTCGGAAGAGCTGGAGCCAGTAGTCAGCAGTGATGGCAAGATCAATGGGAGATCGAAGGGAAAGATTGTCATCATCATGCTGGCATTGTGTCTGGCTGTCTTCCTAGCTGCTCTCGACGTAACGATCATCACAACCGCTCTGCCCACGATCAGTGAAGAGTTCAATTCTGCGGCTGGCTACACATGGATCGGTTCTGCCTTCTTGTTGGCGAATTCAGCTTCTATTCCTTCCTGGGGAAAAGTCAGTGACATCTTTGGTCGCAAGCCCATGCTCTTGGTTGCCAACATCATCTTCTTGATCGGATCTCTGGTTGCTGCACTGGCGAACAGCATCGGCATGCTCATTGCTGCCAGAGCTGTCCAAGGTGTGGGCGGTGGTGGTTTAATCATTCTGGTCAACATCGTCATTGGCGATCTGTTTCCAATGCGCATTCGTGGTGCTTTCTATGGTGTCATTGGAGGTGTTTGGGCGATTGCTTCAAGTCTTGGGCCCATTCTTGGTTCGTCGATCCCCCTCTCGTATAACTGATCGAACTTTTGCTGACATAGACTCCAAATTCAGGTGGCGCATTCAGCCAGTACGTGTCGTGGAGATGGTGCTTTTACATCAACCTGCCTTTGGACGGAATTGCTTTCTTCATCCTGCTCTTCTTCCTGGACATCAAAACGCCTCGGACCCCGATCGTTCAAGGTCTCAAAGCGATTGACTGGCTTGGATCCTTACTCGTGGTAGGAGGAACTTTGATGTTCCTCTTCGGCCTACAGTACGGTGGCGTGTCTGCGCCCTGGGATTCTGCTCGAGTGCTCTGCTTGATTATCATCGGTGTCTTCACACTCTTCTTGTTCGGCATGTGGGAGTGGAAAGGCGCGAAGTACCCGATCATGCCAATGGCTCTATTCGCATCCCGCTCCAGAGCTGCTACACTCGGTGTGGTCTTTCTCCATGGCTTTGTTTTCATTTCGAGTAGCTACTACCTCCCACTTTACTTCCAAGCGGTCCGAGGCCAGTCGCCCATCATGTCCGGAGTCCTCATTCTGCCCACAGCTGTGGCTCTCGCAATCACATCTGTGGCAACGGGAGCGTTCATTGCGAAAACTGGTCGTTTCTTGCCCCCGATCTACTTTGGGTTCTTCTTCATGACGCTCGGTTTCGGTCTCTTCATCAACTTCGATGCGCACAGCTCGTGGGCAAAGCTTGTCGTATTTCAACTCATTGCTGGTCTCGGTATTGGTCCAATCTTCCAGTCTCCCATCATCGCTCTGCAGGCTCACATCAATCCCCGCGATATCGGAACTGCGACTGCCACACTTGGATTTGTGCGCCAGCTTGCGACGAGTGTGTCCGTGGTCATCGGCGAAGTAGTCTACCAGAACCAAATGGAGAAGAAGAGCGCCCAAATATCAGCCGCGCTGGGTCCAGAGGCAGCAGGCCAAATCACCGGAGGTGGCGCAGGCGCCAGCACACAATTCATCCAACGACTACCCGAAGACCAGCGCGAAGTCGTCCGCGTTGCATTCGCAGACTCACTACAGCCCATGTGGATCATGTACACCTGTTTCGCAGCCTTGGGTTTCGCTGTCATGTTACTCATCAAGAAGAAGCAACTTTCAAGAGAACACGAAGAGACCAAGACAGGTCTTGAAGCTGAGAAGGAAAATGCAGCAGCGAGGAAAGCTGAAGCGGACGAGAAGCGGGCATCGAAGGCCACGAAGAGACATTCGAAAGCAGCACCGACGAGTCGACCACTTTCGGAAGCGACGACAGCAGCAGCGGGCGACAGCGACAAAGAGCACAGTGCGGCCGAGGCACCAGATGTGCCACGATCACGAACAGCGGATAATACAGCCCCAAACTCCAGTTCTTAGAGCGACGAAGATAATGTTGTACGATGATGTTTGTATTGATTGTAATGTTACTGGGCGTTCTGCAAATGAGGTCTAGAGAATCAGCATCAGAAAAGGCGCATGGGTATGATACACACGAATGACTTGCTACCAAAATGTACAGTGGTTCGGCGAAGATGGCCATCATATATAGGGGGCAAATGTCCTAGACTTGCAATCTTCGGCTTCATTACTTCGGTTACATTCAACGTTGCTGACCCATGCAAGATCCCACTGGCTGAACTGGCATCCTATTCCTGGCGCACTAGTGCATGTACTTCTTGGCTGCCAGCCTGACGTAGCACAGAACCAAAATGTTGGAGATCATGACTCGCGCCATGTTCTTCGCATTGCTGATGTGAGGCACAAGCAATGCGGTCAGTGTAGAGGCGTTCGCCTGTCGTCTCGCTTCAAACATCGACATCACCCCACTAGATTTCAGCGGTCAGCGAACCAAGCACATATTCTCGAGACTGGAACTTGCAACTTACATGTTCCTTCAAATCATCCGCCCTCCACTTCGTTGCCCAACCCATCTCCTTCTCAATCGTCTCATATATTTGCAAAATCGCACGATGTTCGCTCGGATGACTCATATGCTGTCCTGCAATCCACAGTGGCTGAATACTGTTACTCCAACTGCCATGATGGTGATTACTGATACTGATGCCGCAAATCTGTCGAGCGTGCCACAAGACCGAAGCAGGTTTCTTGGCAAACTGGACGTGAGGAGGTTTGTATTTGAGCATCAGGAGTGCAGCAGTGTGATACATTTGGTTACCGGAAATGCCGGGACCATTGCCGAAGAGGAGTGTTGGGAAGGGTTTGTTGGTCGTAGAGGCGGAGATGCTGATGATGGTTTTCATTTCTTCCGGGCGGTCGTGGTACCAGCGTTCGAGAAGTTCGAAGAGTTGGGTCCATTGGTGGAAGTACTCGGTGGGGCTCATTGGGTGAGCTGGGTTGCGGTGTCGCTGCTCCCATTTGCCAGAGGAGCAGAGAAGGTCGATGACTTGTCCTGTGAGGTACACAACGTGGTTGGCGTACATGCTGAAGTCAGAATGAAGATTCAGAAGCGTGTTCACGTCCGCGGTGATGTCAACTCCTCCCATCCATTTGTGTAATGGTATCAGAGTTCGTTCTGACGAGATGAGTGCCCCACAAATGTCGATGCGCGCGAAGCACCAGAAGATGGCTTGCTCGAGACCGCCGCAGCCGCCTGAGATACCGAGTGCCTGTATCAAAGCAGCACAGCCATCGAGGTGTCGGCGCCATGCCTTTGGCGAACAGCTCATCATCTCAAGTACACAAAGTACTAGGCATGATGCCAAAACCGCTGTGGTCCGCAATTGCAGAAGAGGAGACAGAAGGTGAATGGCGTGTTGGTACAATGCCAGACTGCAGGAGTTGTCGGGCTTCTTCTCCTTGAGTTCCTTTTGTCGCGCAGATAAGGCCAATATCGAGTACTTGAGGTGAGGATGATGTTTCGCTAGTATGGGCAATACAAGCTCAAAATGACGGTATATATCAAATTTGTCCAGCCAAGGGGCAATTTCACTGTGTACGTACGAGAATCAGTCAGTCCTCTCCATCTCAACAGACCCGGTACAGTGGCTTACTCGATATAATTCTGCCACAGCATGAACTCTTGCTCCACAGAAAGGTATGCAAGCCTTTGCCACTCGTCGTCGGCAGCTTCACTGCTCCCCTCAGGATACAGCTCTGACCTTTGATGAATTTCTGGCGATCCTAGTCTGGACGGAGCTGTCGACTTCGCGGTATCGATGATTCTGCTGCGCAGCGCTGCGTGTAATTCTTGGTACTGGGAGCCGGCCGAGAAAATGCCGTCTTCAAAAGTGCTGTCGCTGTAGTCGGGTGACAAGAATAGCTCTCGAGAAGGTACTAGTTGTGCACCTTCGAGCTCTAAGCTTGGCACTAAATCGTCTTCAACTGTTGAATAGCTGTCATGTGTTGCTGTTTGACGCAGCATGTCGAATGGCGCCATCTGACGACTCTTGTCACGACCGTTCCGAGTGGCTGGCGCAGTCTCTTTGGACGACGAGGACGAGGGAAGAGGTACTGCTTCCGCAGCACGAGCGTCGTCCACGCCATTCGTGCTTTCTTCGAAGTAGTCCCGTATAACTTCGTTAGTCACATTGACAATCTTGTAGTTCAATCGTTCGTTGTTCGCAGCCTGCAACATGGAAGGATGCTCGGCTTCCATAGTCTGTGCATTTTCTGGTCTGAAGGAGACCTTCACGCCCCATTCGCACACCTCTCGTCTTGCTTGGCAGCCTTCGCATGTCGGTTTGGCTTCGTCGCCTTCAACTTGTTAACATTGAATCTTGTGGCTAGATCTCTGCGCGAAGCGTACACTTTCTCCGCTTCCGACGGCAATTCAAGCATCCGGTTCGAGTACGCTTGCGACTTTCACCTACTTGTCTTCCTGGGCCAGCCAGTCGACGTCCGGGTCCTCGCGGCGAGCCATCAGGCTTGCTGCTCGCATTCGTAGCCTCCGTCACCGCCATATGTACAACTGAAAAGAAAAGATTGCAATGCGGCGAGATCGAGAATTGAGGTCTCTCGCCTTACTTCTCCGCAATACTGGAGACGAGTGGTGAGAGATCGCATGGCGCCAACAGATCCTTATGCCTCGTGTCGAGCCAGACCGGGAAGCCCTAAAGCAGACTAGACTAGCATTGCGACGGCGAACATTGCCACGTTGAGCTCCGCATGGTATGTACGCTGTGCTCGCTTGTCTTCTGGTACAAAGTCATGCAGTGCTTTGGAATCGTGACGTAAATGAATCTTACAGCAGAGCATGTCTTGTGAGAGATGTGGTGTTGGGCGTTGTTGGAGTTGTAGGGGAGAGTTTTGGAGGAGGAAGGCTGGTGCGTCGGAATACTACATGAGGAAGGCATCCACGACACGTGGAGCGACCCACACGTCGACTTCACCTCTTCCTTCCCATCGCCATGTAGTACTCTCTTGGTCGTGTATTGCCCGCTGGCATACTTGAATGTCATACTGAGTCCTGTCGTTGACCACAGCAACCATGCCGCCCATTCCTGGCAAGCGCGAGAAGCGGATCGTGGGAACTTCGCTCAAGATGTACTTCGATCTCCCGTCCACTCTCAACTACATCGACAAGGTTGCAGCGCTTTCGAGCGTTGCTGAGAAGGCAGAAATCGACCTCTTCGTCATTCCGGACTTCGTCACCCTGCTCTCGGCGAAAGAGAAGCTAGCCGAGTCCAGCGTACTTCTTGGGGCTCAGGATTCGTACAGTGAGGACAAAGGCGCGTTTACTGGCGAGGTCAGCCCATTGACCTTGAGTCAAGCTGGTGTGAAGATTGTAGAGATCGGCCACGCGGAGAGGAGAAGACTTTTTGGGGAAACAGATGAAGATGTCGCCAAAAAGGCCGCTGCCATCGTCAGGAACGGCATGATCCCCCTTGTGTGCATCGGAGAGAAGAGTAAGGGCCAAATCGCGTCGCAAGCCGTTGGCCTCGCTGTGAGCGAGTGCAAGCCCCAGATTCAAGCCGCTCTCTCGCAGGTCCCAGATGACGCAGAAGTGATTCTGGCCTATGAACCGGTGTGGGCGATAGGCGCTGCTGAGCCTGCTGGCGCGGATCATGTTGTCGCAGTCACGCAAAGCTTGAGGGCGCTGGTGCAGGACAGGAAAGGCCGAACGCGCATCTTGTATGGAGGCTCCGCTGGGCCTGGTACATTTCAGAGACTGAAGGATGGCGTGGATGGCTGCTTCCTTGGGCGCTTTGCTCATGATGTGAAGAACCTCGAGAAGGTGATACAGGAGATGGCCGAGCGCTGAGCACGTCGCGACTCGAGTCGCGAGAAGATTTTGCAAAACACCATTCTAGTTGCCGCTCGTGTCGCCGCGCACCCATCGCAGTCATCACCGACACCTCATGGCCTCCAATAACTACTCAAGATCTCTGCTCGCCTCACCTCGCCGTCGCCGCCAACCACTGCTGGCGCCGCCGCCGCCGCCCTCCATCCTCCGCCTCCTCCTCCTCCTCCTCCTCCTCCTCTCCTCCCCCTCGCCGGCCTCAAACGCCGCAAACGCCGACAAACCCCGCGAGAAGCTTCTGGCATCTGCCTGCTCCCTGCTGCTCTCATTGGTCGTGCCACAGGAAAGCCACTCGCCGTCGCCGTCGTGGCGCAGAAAAGTTGGAACGGCCCGCACTACGGACGCGCTAGTCAGAACATTCCTATAAATTGCTGGCAACCTTCCCCTCTTCCTCAATCTTTTTTCTCTCCACTACCATCCACTTCTTCAGCTTCCTCCACTACCAGCAACAACCTTCACTCACTCACAACATCATCATCAAACATCAACATCATCAATCATCATCATCAATCATCATTCATTCATCCACACACATCCATCAAACAACATCACCTCACTCAACATCACCCATCAACCATCAACCATCACTCAACATCAACCATCAACCATCACTCATCACTGACTGACATCGGCGGCGACATCAACCGTCAAAGTCAGTCGCCTGCCACCAGCGCCATCAATTGGTAAGTCACTCCTCACTCACCGCACTTGCAATTCCTCACTGACATCACAGCGCACCTCACTGCCTGTCAACCACCACATCATTGACTCGCACAGGCGGCGACATCAACCGTCAGCCTGGCGCCTGTCACCAGCGCCATCACTGGTAACTTACCGCTCACTCCCCTCACTGCCCCTTTCCTCACTGACATCGCAGCGCACTTCACTGAGGTTCCCACCTCCTCACTGGCACGAGTCGGCGGCAGCTTGCGAGCAGCACCTTCAGTCGGTGAGTCACTGATCCCCTCACCTCACTCCTTTCCTCCTCACTGACATCACAGCGCACATGGCACCACAACCATTTTCGCCGCACCAACAATCTTGGCGGCCAAACAGCCAACCGCGCACTCGCACGACATCGACACTGCCGCCATCGAGACCGCCGACGCCAGCGACAACTTTTCCACCATCAAAATCAGCACACCGAGCAAATCACGACTTCACGACATCACGACACCGAAATCGACCGAACGAGATCCACGAACGAGACGGCGGCAGGCAGCGAGAGACGGGCAGAGAGCAGGCAGAGCAGGCAGAGAGCAGGGCAGTGACTTGGGCGGGCGAGAAAGCAGGCAGATGGGCAAACGGGCGGCAGCAGCAAAATTCGACCTCTTGGCAGTGTGCGTGGTTAGCGACTTCGGCGCGCCACCTTCGGGTGCTTATGATGTGAGATGGCACGAGAGAGTGGGCCATTACTCCAGCGACCATGCGCCACGCACCTGCCATTTGGTTCAACACAACAACATCTTCGACACGCGACGATCTGGCACAGACGACGATGACTCGGTTAGCGACTTCGGCGCGCCACCTTCGGGTGCTTACGATGTGAGATGGCACGAAAGAGTGGGCCATTACTCCAGCGACCATGCGCCGAGTCGTCGTCAGTCCAGCCTGCTTCGTCTGCTTCGAAATTCAGCTCAGTTAGCGACTTCGGCGCGCCACCTCCGGGTGCTTACGATGTGAGATGGCACGAAAGAGTGGGCCATTACTC